CCATGGGAGTCCCAAAGAAAGTGTGACTTATCTCTATGAGTTCACAAATTCCAGGGAAAAAAACTCAGACCCTTTAGGCAGCCCAGAAGAGACATAGGAATTGGAACACAGCCCATCTCAAGTAGTCGCTCACAAACAGAAGGATAGTGAGCGCCTCCTACAGGCCCCGTAGAGACAGCGAGAACATTGTGTCCAAGTCTCCAAGACGGAAGCAACTTCCATGAGGTCTTCTTCTGTGTGGGGAAAAAGTGGTCCAATGAGTAATACTTCTAACTTTATCTAAATTATTTGATTGAAGTCAATGTTACTTAATGCTTATGCAGCGGAGGCTTTATTGTTTTTGATCATCAATAAGTTTCTACATCACTGGGGCAATCCCTTTGCTGCCTCGTTGCTGGGGGCCAAGTCATCAGGAACATACATCTGCCCATTTTGAACAGGCGTAGTCCTTACACACGCTCACAATCCTGGCGTAGCTGTAATGGGGGGGTCTCACTTTTTTAGATCCACGTCACAGCGGTAGCGTTTGCATTTACACTGCGTTTACAACCTCCGACACCGAGACTAATAAAATCGTGCCCACACCTTGAACGTCTTCTACCACCAGTGATGCTGCTGGGCTGGTCTCAGTGACACGGTGTGACAGGTTATGAGTTTATAAACCTGGATTCTTGCTCTGCTTCAGCAGTTTTTCCATATAAGCAATGAAGGCGTTCATTGATGTCAGCAGGTGACCTCTGAGTTGGTCTAGAAACCCTATTAGAAGACGGAGAAGAGTGTTAACAGTTCTCACAGGCACCTACATTATCGACGTTGTTGATCAATTTTTAACACTCTTGACTCCAAACTTTCTATAATATTACTCATAAAACCAAAAACCAAACCAGTTACCATCAAGTCGATTCCTACTGATAGCAACCATATAATACAGAGTAGAACTGCCCCATAGGGTTTCCAAGGAACGCCTGGTGGATTCGAACTGCCGACCTTTTTGTTGACAGCTGTAGCTCTTAACCTCTACACCACCAGGGTTTCCATAATATTATAAAGCATTCTATAATTTTAAAGAAATTTTAAAGGAAAGCCATATCAAATACTAACATATCTAAGGAGAGGGGGAAAGAGAGAGTACAGAGAGAGAGAGATATACAGAGAGAAAGGGAGAGAGGGAGAGAGGGAGGGAGGGGGAGAAGGGAGAGGGAACAATAGAGAGAGGGAGGGAAAGGAGGGAAAGAGAAATAGAGATAGAGAGAGATTTGCAGAGAGAGTGTGGAGGGAGAGGGGAGTGAGAGACAGAGAGAAGTGGTTCCCTGGGTCCTGTCCTGGATACGAGAGTGCAGGTGAGGATCCCTCCACTCATTAACTAACTGGGCATGGACCTTGCACAGATGCTTCTTCAGGTCCAAGCCGGCCAGGGGAGGCCAGCCCATCTTGTCTGTGGCAGGTCTGTTTGGTCGTTTCTCCAGAAGAGACCACTGGTTAGGAATGCTGCAGCCAGGACGTTCTCTCCTGCATCCTTCCCAGGGGTGGATAATCTAATAAGCAAGGTAAGCACGGTGCTTACCTTGCTTACCAGATCATCTGTAGTGAACAAGTTCACATGGGTTTCACCACATCTTTGAGGCTGGCAGTTCAAACCCACCCAAAGCCACCTCAGAAGAAAGACCTGATGATCTATTTCCAAAAGGTCACAGCCTTGAAAACCCTGTGGAGTACAGTTCTACTCTGTAACACATGGGGTCGCCATGAGTCGGAGTTGACTCGAAGGCAACCAGTTTGGTTTTTGGTTTGGTTTCTCATCATTGTCTAAAACATTTTCAAAGAAGATTACATGACACCAATCCATGTGAAATTGTTCACTACAGATTATTATGAGCACAAGTAAGCCCCCGCAGACCTTGCTTACTGGGTCATCCACCCCTATCAGGGATTGTAAATGTGAAAAGAGGCTTTGATTCTATAGGAAGGTGCTGTAGGGTTAGGAGAGAGACAGGTGCCAGCCATACCTAGAAGCAGAATCTTTTGTGTGGTGAAAAAAATGTGAAATTTTTCACTATAGATGATCTGGTAAGCATTGGATAATTTACCCCTGCTCCCACCTTGGCCTGGCTTTCAGGGGTGAGGTAGGAAGTATGCTTTATCCATGGAAAAAAGGAAACCGTCAAATCACACATAGCTCCGTCCCATCAGCCTACAGGGGGAGCCAGCAAATGACTCCATAAACCCGTTGCCATCAAGTCGATTCCAACTCATAGCGACCGTATAGGACAGAGTAGAACTGTCCATAGAGTTTCCAAGCAGCGCCTGGTGAATTCGAACTGCCGACCTTTTTTCTTAACCACTACGCTACCAGGGTTTCCAATGACTCCAGAGGAGGGAGAAGTTGATCACAACGCTGAAATATTAGTATGGCTTCAGATGGGTTACAACTGGTGGTACAAACTCCCTTTAGTCTCAAACGCCAAAGAGTTCAGTTCCACACATTGCTTTCATTCCTGCTGGTATGCTGTACCCGGTCTGCATCCTGGGTACCCATTGGCTGGCTGTGTGAGCTTGGGAAAGTCACTCCCCTCCTCCCCACCCTACTCTCCTCATGTACAAAATGAGGCTAATGATAGCCCTTCTGTCACAGAAGGGTTGTGAAGATGAAATAGGTTAACATATGAAACACTCATAGAACAGGGTCAGGCACACAGTACACACTGATTAGCCTCTGGGTAGCACAAACGGTTAAGCACTCAGCTACTAACAGAGAGGTTGGCAGTTCAAACCCACCCAAAGACACCTCAGAAGAAAGACCTGTTCTATTTCCAAAAAGTCACCGCCTTGAAAACCCTATGGAGCACAGTTCTACTATGCAACACACGGGGTCACCATGAGTTGGAATTGACTTGACGGCAACCAGTTTTGTTTTGGGTTTGGCTTCTTACCATTATCCAAGACTTTTCCAAAGAAGATTGTAAGACAGCAAAGATATCATAGCAAAACTCAGTAATAACTCAAGAAAGATGAAAACGCAACAGGCTTGAAATACATTTCTGCTGACGCCACACAAAAGTCAGTCACATTTTCTCAGTTGAGATGATTGTATATGAAATCTTTTATCTTTTTACAACTTGGATCAGCAGTACATGAACTATGGCTACTTTCAGAAAGAAATGGGCAAAAATACTTGAAAATGGTTTTGTCATTTTCTGACATACGTAAACGTCTGTGTGGCAACTCTAAGTGATGGGTTGAAACCAAATACAATTATTAAACGGCCAGTTCCCCTTTAGAACCCCTCCCCTTGTTTTCTCCACCACCCCCCCATCTCATACCCGTCCCAGGAGACCCACTGTCCTCTTGTAGCTCCCTGGAGCTATTTCCCTCCCCAATTCACCTGAACCCATCTCTGCTCTCTTTTAAACTTACTTGTCTACCGTTGGCTCAAGGCAAAGCAACTGGTTCATATTCTCACGAATTAATTTGTGATAAAGCATCAGTGAGTAGGTAGTCCCTCCTGGGTTATGTGTGTGTATTATGAGAACTACAGAGGTGTATGGTTAACCTAGAGGGGTCTCTAAGTCTTCAGGTGCATGATTGATTGGTGGGACTTGTAGTGAGATATAGGGAAGTCATTGCCTTCTTGATGATATGCGATCTTCTATTCTATCTGCCTTCAGTAGATGCTGTGTGGGGTTTCGATGGCCCTATCTTACCCCAGTACTTTGTCTTTTCTTACTCTGCACTGAGTGCTATGATAGCGTATGAGATAACTCTGATCTATTAAGAAATCTGTTCTAACAGAAAAATGCATAATTCACAATGTATATAGATGAGATGGAAACCCTGGTGGTGTAGTCTTTAAGAGCTACGGCTTCTAACCAAAAGGTTGTCAGTTCAGATGCACCAGGCGCTCCTTGGAAACCCTATAGGGCAGTTCTACTCTGCCTATAGGGTCACTATGAGTCCGAATCGACTTGACAGCTACGGGTTTGGTTTTTTTGGTTGTAGATGAGATAAAAGTAACGAAGCCTCTGGAACTAAGCTTATGATTTCAGTTCACATGAGCAGTCGGTAGGAGTTCCAAGAAGCTCCAATTAATGAATGCATTGTTGTTGTTAGGTGCCGTCAAGTCTGTTCTGACTCATAGCGACCCTATGTACCACAGAATGAAACACTGCCCGGTCCTGCGCCATGCTCACAATCATTATGCTTGAGCCCATTGTTGTAGCCACTGTGTCAATCCATCTTGTTGAGGGTCTTCCTCTTTTTCGTTGACTCTCTACTTTACCAAGCATGATGTCCTTCTCCAGGGACTAATCCTTCCTGACAACATGTCCAAAGTATGTAAGACGTAGTCTCACCATCCTTCCTTCTAAGGAGCATTCTGGTTGTACTTCTTCCAAGACAAATGAATGCATTAGAGAACATAAGTTATTTGGAAGCAAGGGACAATAATACACCAAGCACCAAAAGTTACAAAGAAGTAATGAAAATAAGCGTTAAAAGGAGGATTTAATAGATGAAGCTCCCAACATGTGAAACAAGATGTCAGAAGCAGAAAATGTTGGTTTGGTTCTGGTCCCTAGAAGTAAGAACGTGCCGACGTCTAAATCTACAGTGACTGCACTCATGCAGTTGGATGTGGACACTTCTTTTTCAAGTGACTCTCGATTCCTTTTCATGTGACCTTTGCCTGTCTTGTTAGTAATTTTGAAGGACCCCTGTAGGGAAAATGAAATGGAAAAGTGGGAAAAGATAGTACTTAGGAAGCGTTTTTGCATTTGTTCTCAGTGAAGGTCAGAAAGGAACTTCAAGGTCATTTTAGTCCAACGCCCTAGTGGTTTGTTGGTGGTGTTAGAAACCATTGGTCCTAGGTGCAGAGGAATGGGAAGGTACGCCTCCCTGTGGCTCTGCTGTTAAGTGCCAGACTTGTGCTGCTGTCCAAAGTTTCCAACAAGAACCCATGGAAGGATGGGGCTGTGTCCGCCATGGCAGGAACTCGAGGTAATGGCTGTCCTCTTCCCCTTCAAGTTTTCAGATCCCTCTGAAAATGAAAGCACAGGTGTTTTTTTTTAGATCTTCATGCCATCTTTCCAACATTACGGTTGAGTGGACACCTGCATTTCACCCTGCGTAAAGCGTCTGGCTGTTCTTGAGGGGACGTACATGATTAATGGGGACAAGGGTGGCCTCTGACTGAGGGAGCTGCAGCTCTGTGAGGATGGATCTTAGACAGGTATTAAAAAGCTCTCCAACCCATGTTCACCTCCAAACTAAAAACACCTCTGAATTTGGATCATTGACCTGAGATTTTTCCAACATGGACTGTCCAGCTCTTAGCAGTGTATTCCTAAATTCCAGTTTGAGTCAGAACAATTTTGTTTTTAAGCCCAACTAGATAGAAAAAGGAGTCCCTGGTGATGCAAATGGTTAAGTGCTTGGCTAGTAACCAAAACGTTGGCAGTTTGAATCCACCCAGAGGCACCTCAGAAGAAAGGCCTGGTGATATGTTTCGAAAAGATCACAGTCACTAAAAACCCTATAGAGCACAGTTGTATTCTGACACACTTGGGGTCACCATGAGTCGGAATTGACTTGATGTCAACTGGTGGTGGTGGTGTAGACAGGTAGTAGTAGGTGAAACAAAGGTGATGTGGCAGGCAGCACCATAGACTAATAAATGGGACAATTTGCTCAAGATATGTGAGCTCGTGGAAGGCCCTCACACTTACTTTCAAAAGAAGCAACCAATTCCTCAAGAAGGTAAACATAAAATTACCATATCAAAAAAACCATTGCTGTCAAGTGGATTCCGACTCATAGTGACCCTACAGGACAGAGTAGAACAACTGCCTCATAGGGTTTCCAAGGAGCAGCTGGTGGATTCAAACTGCCAACCTTTTGGTTAGCAGCCAAGCTCTTAACCACTATGCCACCAGGGCTCCAGAAGCCCCTAAATCACTGCTTGTAGAATTGACAACTGATTATCACTCCCTGGTTCTTTATAGCAGGGTTTGAGTAATACTCAAAGGGTTACCTAGAAGGTGAATAACATGACGGAGTGAGCTGGGGAAGGGGTGCTCCACCAGGGGAGGGGCGCCACACCCACCTCCAGCTGCTCGTGGATCCAGTCCAGGAAGGCAGTGATGCGGGTGTAGACTCCGGGCTTGTTCACCTCGGCACAGCCAATACCAAAGCTCGTTGCTCCCACCAGCTTCCACACCCTCCTGTCTTGACATACCAGGGGTCCCCCGCTATCTCCCTAAATGAAAACACACAAACAAAAATCAGCAGAACAATGTGGTTTTCCTTGTCATAGCTGTAGTTCCCCTTCACAGCATTACAGAAATATGGCAGGAGGATGGCTCTGCATCCACATCTCAGAGACTTTCTAGAATGGTCTCTAGCACTCCCCATGGTGGGGATCCCTAGGCCCTTCTGGAATAGTTTCCCTCCAGGCTGTGTTTTCCTACCAGACTCTAGACACACTGACCTCATGAAGGTCAAGGGCAGCTGGGCACAGCTGAGGGGGTGCTCCCAGAGGGAGAGGCATCCTGGTTGGGGCTTTTAGCTGACCTCCAGATGGACCACCAGGGAGTACTGGAGTTCCCAGCAACTGTGGCTTTTGGAGGCCCAGATTCACTGGTTCCCACCTGCGTCCCCCCACCCTTAACCAGTTGCCATGGAGACAATCCCAACTCCTGGCAACCCCATGGGTGTCAGAGTAGAACCATGTGCTATAGAGTTTTCAATGGCTGTGACCTTTTGGAAGGAGGCCACCAGGTCTTTCTCCAAGGTGCTTCTGGGTGGACTTGAACCTCTAAGTTTTCAATCAGCAGCTGAGCACTTAACTGTTTGCTTCTTCCAGGGACTCTTCCGCTCCCTTACTCCTCTGCAAACTCTGAGAATCAAGCTGGGTGGAAACCATCCAGGAGAACCCTCCCTCCACGCAACCCCAAAGCAGAGAGGAAGACTTTGCAAACACAGCCCAGCCAGCCAGGAGAGGGAACAGTATCTTAAACAAATGTCCTTCCCACACCCTATAAATTTGCTTTTGGGTCAGTCACAGACAACGCTGATGGTAACTGTGTCACCACGGGAGAACCTCACCTTGCTTGCTGCCATGGCCCCAGGTCACCGTGCCCCTCCTTACCTGGCAGCTGTCTATGCCGCCCTTCAGATAGCCCGCGCAGAGCATGGAGGGTGAGATGATGCCGCCATACACGTCCCTGTGGTTGCAGACCTTGTTGGAAATCAGTGGGACGGCTGCGTGGTTCAGCACAGCTGAGGCATCACCTGTGGCAAAGCAGGTGCGGGCAGGTGCAGTGAGCAGGAAGCCCACTCGGGATTCAGAGACCTGTGTTGGGGACTTGGGGGCAAGGGGACTGTCATGGATTGAATTGTGTCCCCCCAAAAGTGTGTGTATCAATTTGGCTGGGCCATGATTCCCAGTATTGTATGGTTGTCCTCTTTTTTGTGATTGTAATTTTATGTTAAAGAGGATTAGGGTGGGATTGTCACACCCCTGATCCAATGTAAAGGGAGTTTCTCTGGGGTGTGGCCTGCACCACGTTTTATCTTACAAGAGATAAAAGAAAGGGAAGCAAGCAGAGAGACATAGAGCCCTCATACCACCAAGAAAGCAGTGCTGGAAGCAGAGCACATCTTTTGGACCTGAGATTCCTGCACTGAGACGCTCCCAGACCAAGGGAGGATTGATGACAAGGACCTTCCTCCAGAGCCAACAGGGAAGGCCTTCCCCTGGAGCTGATGCCCTGAATTTGGACTTCTAGCTTACTAGACTGTGAAAGAATAAGTTTCTCTTTGTTGAAGACATCCACTTGTGGTATTTCTGTTACAGCAGCACTAGAGGACTAAGACAGGGACACCTCACCTGACATGACACATGACCAACAAGGCTGCAGCCCTGTCAAGTGGGATGAGAAGACTCAGTCTGTTGTGAAGCACCATCAAACTTTACAGCTTTGCTCCCTTCCACATGGGCCCCTGGCTTCATACCATTGACTTTCGAGTGTCCAAGATGTTGGAGAAGGTGTTGGGTGATGGCAATGGGAGCCAACACGGCCCTCCCTAGGGGGCTGGGCCTGGATCAAGTGTTTGACACACACCAGACCATTTGGACCTCACAGCAACCCAAGTTATAGAAAAGGAAACCAAGGCCCACAGAGGTCACATGACACACAACATCTTGACAGAACCCCAGGTGGTCAGAAGAAAACTGTTCCCTGAAGATGTCCAGGTCCTCATCCCTGGAACCTGCGACTGTGTTATCATATGTGGCAAAAGAGCCTTTGCAGATGTGATAAAGGTACAGGCTGTGAGATGAGGAGGTTATCCTGGATTATCTGGGTGACCCAGTGCAAGTACAAGGGTTCTTAAAAGAGTCAGAGAAGGAGATGAGATGATGGAAGCAGAGGTCAGAGTCAGAGAGAGATTTGAAGATGCTGCACTGCTGACTTTGAAGATAGAGGAAGGGGTCACAAGCCAAGCAGAAGCTTCTAGAAGCTGGAGAAGTCAGAGATTCTTCCTTAGAGCTTCCAGAAGGAATGCAGCTTGGTTTTAGCCCACTGAGGCCGACTTTTTACTTCTGACATACAGAACTATAAGATAATAAATTTGTGTAGTTTTAAGCCACTAAGTTTGTGATAATTTGTTACCGTAGTGTATGAGTTTCCTGGGGCTGCTGTAACAAAAGACCACAACACAAATGGTTTAAAACAATAGAAATTCATTCTCTCACAATTTCTGGAAGCCAGATGTCCAAATCCAGGGTGTCAGCAGGGCCATGTTGTAGGGGAAGATCCTTCCTCGTCTCTTTCAGCTTCCAGTAGCTACAAGAGTTTCTAAACTTGTAGACACATCACTCCAATCTCTCCTCCATCTTCACATGGCCGTCTCCCCTCTGTGCCTACCTCTGTGTGCCTTCTCCTCTTTTATAAGGACACCACTCGGATTGGATTAACCCAAAAACCAAACCCAGTGCCATCGAGTCAATTCTGACTCAAGGCAACCCTATAGGACAGAGTAGAACTGCCCCACAGAGTTTCCAAGGAGTGCCTGGTGGATTCAAACTGCCGACCTTTTGGTTAGCAGCTGTAGCTCCTAACCATTACATCATCAGGGTTTCCCAGATTGGATTACAGCCACCCTATTCCAGTATGACCTCATGCTAACCTAACTAATTACATCTGCAAAGACCCTATTTTCAAATAATGTCACATTCACAGGTACTAGGGGCTAGGACTCTAATCTTTTTGGGGGGCACAAATCAACCCATAACAAGTAGCCACAGGAAACTGATACACCTGGGGTGGATCAATTTGTGAAGGGATCAACACTCTCTAAATTTACTTGTTTGCAAACCCAGTTATGTTTGTGTTTTATGGGCTTAAAGCAGAGAAACCCTCTATTTCCATTCCTCTAGCATATATCAGAAAGGAGCCCTGGTGACTCAACAGTTAAGCACTCAGCTGCTAACTGAAAGGTTGGTGGTTTGAACCTACCCAGGAGCTCCATGGGCGAAAGACCTGGCTATCTGCTCCTGTAAAGATTACAGCCTAGAAAATCCTATGGGGCAGTTCTACTCTGTCACGTAGGGTCTTTATGAGTTGAAATCGACTTGATGGTGCCTAACAACGATAGCATATATCAGCAGGGGATGTGTGAATCTTGAGTCTCAAAACCTTTATTGTAAGCATGCAATGAGTGTGAGTCACACCATTTTTCATGATGGGCTTCCTGAATGCACTCTTAAGTCTACAGTCTTTGCAGTGGGATCTGCCTGGCCATAACACTGGGCTGAACGTGATACCAGGATTCTGTGAGGACAATGAAATAATGGGCGTCAGACACTCCAAGTTCTTGAATAAGTAATATTCAGAGGGACATGGGCAGGGAAGCATGACTTGGAATCCCAGAGCTTACCTCCTGGTCACGTGAGCCTGAGCAAGGTGCTCAATGTCTCTCAGCCCCAGTCTCCTCACCCACAGACTGAGTCCAATAATAATAACCCCTGTAATGGATTGAATTATGTCCCCCAGGAAAGATATATTTAAGTCCTAACTTCTCTACCTGTGAATGTGACCTTGTTAGAAACAAGATCTTTCTTTAAAGATGTTCTCAGTTAAGTTAAAGAGGTCATACCAGAGTAGAGTGGGTCCTGATCCCTTCTGAGTGGTGTCCTACCAAAGGGAAGAAGAGACACAGAGGCAGAATCACACATAGGAGAAGACACTATAGGAGAATACATCTACAAGCCAAGGAACAACAAGGATTTCCAGGAGCCACTAGAAGCTGGGAGAGAGGCATAGAACAGATTCTCCCTCAATGGCCTTAGAAGGAATTGACAGGACTGATACCCTAATTTGGCCTCCAGAACTGTGAGACAATGAGTTTTTATTCTGATAAGCCACCTAGTTGTATTTTTTTATGGCAGCTGTAGAAAACTAAGACACCCGTTCAGGGACTGCCATGAGGATCAGATGGTATAACGCTGAAACATTCAGCTCAGCATCTGGCACAGGGTAAGTGCTTGATAACGTTGGAGTAGCAGGGTGCATGGTGAAAGAGAACTAGGGAGTTTGTAGGAGAAGCTTCCAACACAGGCAGGAGGGTGGAGAAAGTGCTAATCAGGCCTTTTGTGGTGGACAGACTGGATCACCACCTAAAAGATGAGCAAATCTGCACAGGGATCCTGCACCTCCCGAGAGAAAGAGCTATTTTCAGCCCCTCCTCTTCAGAGTCCAACATCATTAGTATCAGGCTGGTGGGCTGGGTGGTCTTGAATGAGAATTCATGAGAACTCACCAGGAGAGGAAGGGGAGCATAGATTGGTGACCCTGGTCCCCACCACAAACCAGGGGTTCAGGGGCACTGGTTCTGAAGGTGCTGGAAGCACCTAGACCAAAGCTGGGCTTTAGCCCAGTGGGTGAGCTTGAAATGCCAAAGAGCTGTAAGTTGCCCTGAGCCAGGGTAGGAGTTGGGGCAAGCAAGACCCCACAGGTCTTTCAGATGGAGTTAGCCTCTGGATGCCGTAAGCACTCGGGGGCCAAGGGGGTCAACTAATAGGTCTCTAGATGAAAACACTGAACTTCCCACTAACAGGGAAAGCAATTAATGTTACCATATTTGAGCCCCATAGTGATAAAAGGAAGGTATAGGTTTTATTTGCATTTATTATTACTATTATTAACATGACTACTTTTATTATTATTATAGCTGTAAGATCCTGTTTGTTTGCCTTTTCTACTTGATCACCGTCAGATGAAATAACACATCTTCCAAAGTCCCACAAAACAAAAACTCTTCAGCTGTTATAAGTCTTTGACTTCAGAATAAACGTTGCGGGGTTCTGTAATACATGGGCTCCGATGTACTTAGTTGACTTGGGGGAGGAGGAGGAAGGAGGTAAGAGGAAAGAAACCATCTCATGTGTTAGCGAAAGTCTCTTCACCAAGGGGTGTTGACAGTTTTCCTTTGTTTTATATTTCTATCCTGACAAAGCCTGTAATATCATGTTGTGTCAAGACAAGTGGAACCAGACTGATGGCCCACCATTGACTCAGTCGTTCATGTGTTTTGAGAAGCTGACACGCACCCCCTACCCGGGACCTCTGGACATCACATGGAGCATTACATGGGGACATTGGAAGGCAGCGGGTTGTGTGTGGGCCCCACCCCAGCTCCCTGGGCTCAGAATCATGATCCAGACCACTGACCTCCATCTTCTGTGGCCCCCCATCCTGATGTCCAACACACCTTCCCATCGGGAAAAATCTCCTCCGAGTTGGGCAGGCACACTGGTTGGACCATCTCTGTTTAAAGGGGAAACAACTCAGTTGAAACAGTAGTCCGAGAAACAGTCTCATCCATGTTTATGTCTCTGAGAAGCTCATAATGATCTCCCAAAAAACAGTTAAGCCCTGGGTAATTTGAAAGCTATTAGTCAGAACAGGGACTCCCCTGGAGCCCTTAAAACTGTAAAGCAGTCCTGTTGCTGCTGCTGCTGCTGCTGGTGGTTACTGATGAGTTGGCTCTGACTCATGAGGACCTTATGTGTAACAGAATGAGACATTGCCTCGTCCTACACCATCCTCACAATTGTTGGTATGTTTGAGCCCATTGTTGTGGCTATTGTGTCAATCCATCTCATCGAAGGTTTCTCTTGTTTTTGCTGACCCTCTATCTTACCATAATGTTTTCGAGCAAAAACAGCCCTAGCTGTTGTAATTGAGTAAATCTAGACCAGAGATTGGCAAACTTTTTCTGTAAAGGGTTAAAAGTAAGTATTTTAGGTTTTGCAGGTCATACTGTCTCTGTTGCAACTACTCGATCCTGCCATTACAGTGTGAGAGCAGCCATAGGCAATATGTAAGCAAATGGGTGTGCTTGTGTTCCAATAAAACTTTATTTGCAAACATGAGCAATGGGCCAGAACTGGCCCACAGGCCATAGTTTACCCACCTCGGTCTAGACCACAGGCACGTTGCCTTACAGAGATTTGCTGCATGAGTTTTCCTATCCTTCCTAAAACATTTAGAGTTAACAAGTTTGCTAGTTGGTGTGGGATGTTACATAAGCCTGCCATCAATCCCCACACACAATGAGTGGGGCATGGGGTTTTCATGTGAACACCTTCTGAGAAGTACTAAGCTTTCCTGGGCATGGCAATAATAGAAAGGTAGAGAAGGAATAAGGGGGACTCATTTTTATTCATATCAAAGTATAAGTGCTGGCACCTAATGTTTTATAACCAGAATATCATGAATAATAATTAACAAACCAGCACCACCATTACAATTTCTATCTGTTTCTCTAGAAATATTTGTTTTGAAGCATTATGTGTGCGATATGACAAGCTCAGGGATGGCTCTGCCAGGTCAGACCTGCAGCTGGTCTTGGGCCAGAATCCCTCTCCAATAAGGGGAGATTCACCTTGTTTATTAGGCTCTGCCTGTAGTCCAGGCTGTGTGCACTTGGAGAGGAAGCCAGTAAACCAGTTGCCGTCTAGTCAATTACAACTCATGGTGACCCCATGTGCGTCAGAGTAGAACTGTGCTCCATAGGGTTTTCAATGGCTGATCTTTCAGAAGTAGATCACCAGGTCTTTCTTCCGAAGAGCCTCTGGGTGGACTCAAACCTCCAACTTTCCGATTAGCAGCCAAGTGCATTTTCCGTTTGCACCACTGAGGGACTCCAAAGGGGGACTTTAATTTATTTAGGAGTAGGGCTCGTCATGAGTGCTTTGTTTGCATCTACAAAATGTTTGAAAGTTCCATCCTGTATGGCTCTTCTGGTGTTTTTGTAACCTCTAGAAGGCAGGACTTGAGGTTTCCCATGGAGAAACAGGGCCCTTTTGAGCCTGCCAACCTCAATAGCAGGTTTGGACAGAATTTTCTGAGTGGTTCCAGATTGCTGAAGATGCTTGTCCTCTTTTAGCTTGTTAAGAAATGGCCGACAGAGAGGACCACCACAACAAGCTGACTAGCTTCGAAAGCGCTCTCTTTCCCCACTGAGATGGAGACTCTCCCGTTCACCTAGAAACACCGGGCAGCTTGTGGTACTGGCAGGAGGATCCTGTCATAACAAGCACCCAGCCCAGGGTGCTTTGTCCCAAGGGCCAAAGACTCCCTTTTCCCACCTAGAGCACCAGGTGGCCTAGCCTCGGGAAGCTCCTCCCCACCCACAGGTCATACCAGCAAGGACCAGTGGGAGACCCAACGGCACCAGATAAACCACACCAACCAAAGGAGCACCACTAAGGCTCTGAAAAGAAATTGTCATTGGAACCACAGTCCACAAAAGTAGGCTAGGACCTACACACTAATCCTAAACAGAGGAACTGTCTGTTAAAATTGAAAGTTTATATAAGACCCAGAGCCTCCTAATATAATAGGCAAAATGTCCAGGATATAATCAAAAATCACCTGTCATACCCAGAACCAAGAAAATCACAACATGTGTGAGAAATGATAATCGAATGATGCCAACAACGAGATGAATCAGATGCTGGAATTATCTGACAAGAACTGTAAAGCAGCCATCATCAAAATGATTCAACAAGCAACAAAAAATTCTCTTGAAACAAATGAAAAGAAACAGAATAACAAGGAAACTCAGTCATACCGTTGAACGTGAGTGGCCCAGCCAGCTTCATGAGGGCGATGTCATTGCCCAACCTCTTTGGCTTGTACTTGCTGTGGTAGATGATTTTCTCCACCAAATGGGAAGGGGCTGGACTGTCCAGCAGGGAAACTAGACCCACTTGGATGGTCCATGACTTGGGGAGGTATAGGCTGAAATGAGGAGATCAAGACATGAAGCACAGGATAAACACAACCGCTGAACCTATTGGCCTCAGCTGTCCTGAGAGCCAGTGACCAGGGAGATGATGGGAGATGTGACAGGGCAAGAGATAGTCCCATTGCCCTAGCTTCTTTATGCTCAGTGTTGTGCATTGAATTGTATCCCCCAGAAAGATAAGTTGAAGTCCTAACCCTCACGCTTGTGAATGTGACCTTGTCTGAAAATAGGGTCTTTGAAGATGTTATCAATTAGGTTAACATAAGGTCATCCTGGAGTTGGATGGGCCCTAATCCTGTATGACTAAAATAATAAAATCAAACTAGTTGCCATTGAGTCAATTCTGACACATAGGGACCCCAAGTGTGCAGAGTAGAACTGTCTTCCATAGGGTTTTCAAGGCTGTGACCTTTTGGAAGCAGATCACCAGGTCTGTCTTCTGAGGTGCCTCTGGGTGGGTTTGAAACTGCAACATTTTGGTTAGCAGTCAAGAGCTTAACTGTTTGTGCCAGCCAGGGCCTCCTTCCTATATGACTAGTGTCCTTATAAAGGAGAAGACGTATAGAGACAGAGACAGAGGAAGGACACCATGTGACAATACAGCTGCAAGCCAAGGAATGCCTGGAGCTACCAGAATCTGGGAGAGAGGCATAGAGCAGATTCTCGCTCAGAGCCTCAGAAGGAGTCAACATGGCTGATACCCTGATTTGGACTTCCAGCCTGCAGAACTGCAAGATAATACATTTCTGTTCTTATAAACCTCCCTATTCATAGAATTTTGTTATGGCAGCCCGGAGATCCCAGGCTAAATTAAGACAGGCAGAGTCTGTCCACAGCTCCCATGCCCTGCAGAAGCACAGACCCACACCCTAGCTATTTCCCAGAGAGGTCTCACCTCTGAAGACCTCTCCATATTTGAGAACTGAGCTCAACTTTGCTTAATGTCAGGGGTCCACCAAGGTTCATTCTCCATCAAAATAGAGGGAGGTAAAAATAATGAGGTGAACTAACCTTTGTGTTTGGAAGTCCTTTCTGTGGTTTTCTTACACTGTAAGCTCATGAGAGACTGCTCTGGGAACCCTTGATGCCCCATGCAGGCACCCTCATGCCCCACGCCTCCCCACATCGGCTGTCATCTGTCATAGGAAAGTCTCAGTCCTTCTTTTCTGGTGGTCCTCCTGTAAGAGCGTTCTTCCTTTCCTTTCTCCCTTTTCTGTAGAAGCTGCAGCTCTAAAGACCTCAAAATGAGCTCAGAGTCACCAGTTACCCCCATGATGGTGACGGCCAGGAGCCATGGTGAGAAGTCAGGTCTCCACCTGACCACCACTTTGTCATGATCGGGTCTGTCAGCCCGCCCCACCCTGACACCAGGACTAGATAGGTGCCCGAGGGAAGGTGAGGACCCACTCCAGCGAGCCCAGAGCACTCACTCGTAAACACAGTGGGCAGCTGTGACGATCCACATGGGCGTGATGACAGAGCCCCCACATAGGTGGTACCCCTGGAACTGAAGGCTGACCTGCCAGGGCCACTGTGTGAGCGAGGACATATTCCCACCAACGATGCGCGAGGAGTAGCCAGACCTCAGACCACAGGCTGCAGGGAGAACATAGGCTGCAAGCACCCCTCCAAGACTCTTGTCAGAGTCCTGCCCCTCCCTCTCCTACAGCTGATGTCCCCACAGGGCCCATACCCTGGGGAGAGATAGGGGCTATGAGGGGTGGGGTGGGACGGGCCAGGGAAAGGTGCTCAGGGAGGGGCAGCCTCACAGAGAGCCTTGGAGGAGTGTAAGGTGTGGGTGGGCTATTATGGAGGTGCAATAAAGAAGTCTGCCAGACTAAAGAGTCCTCCCTGATCACCACGTAGGGGGTTGGCAGCGCCCCCTCCTCCCTAATGCCCATGGCCTCCAGGATGATGGCAACAGTATGGGGACATCAAGCAGCAACTCATCAGGAGCATGTGGGATCCCCTGCAGCCCCTCTCCTCACCGACGCAGGTGCTGGGGCTCATGTCCCTGACCACTCCAGACATACCTCCTGCAGCATGAACCCTCCCCTGCCGGAACCCAAGGGCACCTGCCCCAGGCCTGGGACTCTGAGCTGCCTGTGCGTACTTTCCCAGTGAGGGAAGGGGAGTGACAGTAAATCAGGCTACTGAAAACTCTACAGAGTGCCCAGACCTGGTCCTGCTGGCTGAGATGCCTCCTTCCCACCTGACAGGTGCACCCAGCTCCCCCTGCTCCTGCCTAGACAGGTGGGAGGACAGAGTTCCCACCAGGCACCCGGAAGGAAGGAATCAGAGCTGTCCTCAGAGGGTGAGAGCGGTCAGGGGTGAGAGAGAGGAGACTGGGGGCTTCCAATAGGTTCTTTGCATTGCTAGAACTCTTACCTGTACACTTCAAGGTAACCACGTGGCCCGAAGCACATCCCTCCCTGAAGCGAGAACAAAAGTAGCCTTAATGATAACCATCCTAGGCCAGAGACATCAACCTTTTTGTCTTTGTTTGTTTTTGTTTTTACTTAATCTTGGGATAAAAATAAATGATAAACTCTTTTCTTCTGCTCTTGCATATGGATTGCAATTTTCATCTATTTAACAAAAGCATACATAGAGAATGAGTTCACACAATGCATCCTAAAGCACCAGATAACCAGGGAAGTCATGCGTATGTGAGCGGCTGAGCAGTGTTTCTAGGCTTTGCAGAGTTGACAGTAAACAGGCACCATGAGCTCTGTTGTAGAAACATAAACTGGGGTCATCTGCACTTCTGTTTTATCCCAGGTCCCTGTTCTTCACATCCTGGCCTTGGGGGATCTGGTGTGCCCTGGGACTTGGGTCCTCTTGGCAGAAAGCCCTCGAAGCCTGGAATGCACACACTTCGACAAGGCTTCCTCCCGGAGCACTGTGATGCGATTGCCCCCAAAATGGTACACACACACACACACACACACACACACACACACACACACACACACACACACGCAGACACCTAGGGGGTGGGGCATGTGCTTTTCTGCTAAGGAAGGGAACGAGTTGAATCAGTTGCCATGGAGTAAACTCAGACTCATGGCAACCCCACGTGTGCCAGGGTAGAACTGTGCTCCATAGGGTTTTCAATGGCTGATTTTTCAGAAGTAGATTGCCAGGCCTTTCTTCCAAGGCACCTCTGGGTGAACTCGAACCTCCAAGCTTTCAGTTAGCATCCAAGCGCATTAACCATTTGCACCACCAAGGAATCCGAAGGAAGAGAAAGGGATCCCAAAATCTTCCTAACTTCTTTTGCATTGGAGAGAAAGCTAGTTTCACCAGACTGGGGTTTTAGGACACCAGAGATGAACTGTATCCCCTATGAGTTGATGTATGGGCCCCAGGGTGCCTCACCATGGATGCTTGTTAATTATATGATGGACAGACTGATAAGCCTGTGGTTTCCAGAGCAGAGAATACATACATCTGGGTTTGGTCCAAGGTGTCAGGAAAAGAATATGGAACTTGAATTCAAGGCTACCTCGCCACCTATCCTGGACAAGTCAGGGGGCCCCTCTAAGCTTCAGGTACTTTATTGACTTCATTTGACATCTAAGGTATCTGGTTTGACCTTCCTCGTGCATTCTTAGGGGAAACGTGTACGGTGAATGATGGATGTTAAAGTACTTTTAAACCAAGAAGGGTAAGTTTCCTTGTTTCTTCCTTCCTTCCTTCCTTCCTTTCTCCCTCCCTCCCTCCCTCCCTCATGCCTCTTGAATCTTTGCAGAGCTGAGCACAGCTTTACAAATGCAACAAGTGACTGGCTAACCCCCTTCCTTCCTTCCTTCTTCCCTCTTTCTCTCTCTTTCTCTGGTCCCTTCCCTTCCTCCCTCTTTCTTTCAGTCTTTCCTTCTTTCTTTCTCTCTCTTTTTCTCTTTCTCTCTCTCCCTCCCTCCCACCCTCCCACCCTGGTTACCAATATCTGGACTATCTACCATGTTATAGTCACATTACTACATTCATTAGATACACATCACTATTAGTTCTTTTACTATCTTTCTTTCCCTTCCTTTGCTTTGTTTGAGGTTGGGTTCTTGCACCTTCAGTCTGATGTGCCCACCCAGTCTCACCAAGGCAGCCAGGCACCCACTCCCATACTTTAGGACAATATCCTCATGCCTCTCGAATCCTCACAGAGCTGAGCACGGCATTACAAACACAACAGGTGATTGGCTAACCCGCTTACCTCACATAGACCGAGTGGTGCAGAGCTGTCACCTTGTCATCGGACAAGAGGTGATTGACGGAAGCGAAGCCCTCCTGGAACTGCTCTTCCAGTAAGTCTACTCGGAGGTGGTCTGAGCTTACATAGCTGCAAACACATTGGGAACACAGGCCCGTTGTGTTATAGCTACTCTGTGCTTCAAGTCAACCTGTCCTCAAGACTTAATCTTATGGGTGTCATACTTGGGGGACATCATTTTGTCCCCCGAAACCATCAATGACTTCCTTTTGCCAATAGAATAAAGTTCACCCAGCTTAGCAAGGCATTCCAGACCTTGGGCGGCCCCCACTCCACAGCGTGCCCACCCACCAAGGGCTCCAGCCGCACGGGAGGGAGGACCAATTCCTGATGTCATTGGCTGGGTTCCCCCTTGATGTACTCAGTGAGCCAAGAAAGGAGGTGAACACAGAACAATGTGGGGCACTGTCGGGTGGACACCAAAGGGGAGGTACCTGCCCAGCACCCTGAGAATAATAGGCTAAGGGGAGAAAAGAGCCTTCCCCATCTGCCCATAGCTGGCTTGGGCTCCATTGGAGAGAGATGAACACGCAGAAGGAAGAGATTCAGATGGGGTGGGCGCCAGCACCAATCCCATTGCTGTCCGGCTGATTTCGACTCATAGCGACCTTATAGGACAGAGTAGAACTGCCCCATAGGGTTTCCAAGGAGTGGCTGGTGGATTCAAATTGCAGACTTTTGGTTACAGCCAAACTCATAACCACGCACTACCAGGGCTCTGGGGGGCAGGAGGCAACAGGAGCAAGTAAATGTTTAAAGTGTCAGGAAGCAGACCTTCTGGAGAACAATGGTCAAGGAGGTGGGACTTAAAAGAAATCAAGTGTTTGAAGAGTTACAAGATGGAAGGTGGTGAATGAATAGCCATATTTCCCTTTCTTCGTGTAGAGAACAGAACATAAAGCTGTTGGCTTGCTTTCCGTACTAACATACCAGCTTACCAACCAGAATTTCATCAAATGATTGCAGATGCTCTGGGGGAGATGTATACGTGGAACACAAGGTAAAGCAACTTTGAGTTTTTGAGGGAAATGTAATCAAGGTAGAGGCAATGACCTCCCCAACCCTCTGACCACTCCCACCTAGGAATTACTCAACAGGTTGATACACCAGGTGGACGAGCCAATTGTTACTGGGGTGGAGAGATCCTGACGCAGGCAGGCAGGGTGACAGGTGAGGGAAACGGTGGAATGCAATTGTCAGCTACTGTTAGCTGCCATTGAGTCGGGCCCCTACTCATGGCGACCCCCTGCACAACAGACCAAAATGCTGCTCAGTCCTGCACCATCCCCATGATTGGTTGCAGATGGAACCATCACAGTCCATAGGATTTTCGTTGGCTGATTTTTGAAGTAGATTGCCAGGCCTTTCTTCTTAGTCCGTCATAGTCTGGAAGATCCACTGAATCCTGTTCAGCATCATAGTAACACACAAACTTCCATCGACAGATGGGTGGTGGCTACACGTGAGGTGCGTTGGCCGGGAATCAAACTCAGGTCTCCTGCATGGAAGACGAGAATTCTGCCACTGAGCTACCACAGCCCCCTGGTGGAGTGCAAAGTGACCTTGAATTCAGCAATTAGTGCCCATCAATCGTCAAAACCTCAAAGTAGTGACTGTCACAACCACAATCCCAAATTCTTGTGTGTTCCTATGTGCCGGTCTCACTTCTACACTCTCTAATCTCACTCAAGCCTCACGACGACCCTTTAAAGCAGGTGCTGTTATTATTCCCACTTCACAGGGGCGAAAACGGAGGCACAAGTCATGTAACTTGCCTGAGCTTACACTGGAATGTGAACCGGGGCAACCTGGTTGACTGTCCATCTTTTTTTTAATCACAGATATCTGACTTAGGACATAGAGCAGGGAAAATTGAAGAAGGATTTTTAAAGAGAGAATTGGGACTAATAAACAAACAAAAAAAAACGGAAGTTATCTTAGAAATTGAAGGGAAGTTTAGGGAAGAAAAGAACACGTTTATAAGCATTGGGATCATCATGAATCAGGGCTGGCTCGATAGAAGCTAACAATAACTCTGTAAAGGAGCAACGTTTAGGTAACAGGCTGGAGAAATCGCATTGTCCAGACTTCTTCTTACCCATTATCGGTTGCTGTCGAATCATCCCCCAACTCATGGTGACCCCATGTGTTACAGAGTGAAACTAAGCACCATAGAGTTTTCTTGGCTGTAATCTTTATGGAAGCAGTTTGCCAGGCCTTTCTTCTGCAGCACCTCTGGGTAAACTCCAACCTCCAACCCTTCAGTTAGCAGCTGAGCCCATTAACCATTTGGACCACCCAAGGACTCCATTTTAAGGGTGGTGTTGTTAGGTGACATCGAGTCAATTTCCTGCTCATAGCAACCCCCAGTGACAGAGTAGAACTGCCTTATGGGGTTTTCTAGGCTGTAATCTTTGCGGGAGCAGATCTCCAAGTCTTTCTCCCACACAGCCACTGGCTGGGTTCCGACAGCCAACGTTTTGGTTAGAAGCCACGCACTTAACCATTATGCTGCCACGGTTCTTTCATTTTAAAGGTGTCATTGTGGTTAGGTGCCGTTGAGACAGTTCCAACTCATAGCAACTCTGTGTGCAACAGAACTAAACGTTGCCTGGTCCTGCACCATCCTCACAATTGTCGCTATGATTGAGCCTTGTTCTGTGTCAATCCATCTCGTCCAGGGTCTTCCTCTTTTTCGCTGACCCTCTACTTTAACAAGCATGATGTCCTTCTCCAGGGACTAGTCCCTTCTGATAGCAAGTCCAAAGTACGTGAGGCGAAGTCTCGCCATCCTCACTTCTAAGGAGCGTTCTGGCTGTACTTCTTTCAAGACAGATTTGTTCGTTCTTCTGACAGTCCATCCATATTCTCTGCCAACACCATAATTCAAAGGCATCAATTCTTCTCTCCAGTCTGCCTAGTCATCCCCCAGCTTTCACATGCATATGAGGCGATTGAAAAGCCATGGCTTGGGTCAGGTGCACCTTAGTCCTCCAAGTGACATCTTTGCTCTTTAACACTTTAAAGAGGTCTTTTGCAGCGGATTTGCCCAATGCAATACATCGTTTGATTTCTTGACTGCTGCTTCCATGGGCATTTTAAAAGTAGAAAGAACTATTTTATCAAATGGCCAGGGTCTAAGAGACATATGAGGGCTTCTCAAGCTACCAAGTGGTCCCTAACTGCTGCCCACAAAGAGTGGGAATCCTTGACCCAAGTCTGCTGGGAGAGGACCCCCGAGGGGTTGAGCTGAGTTATTCTGCATAATACAGCAGAGGCCTAAGGATTTAGAGGACAGGGTTGTACTCCAGGAGGGAGTAGGCGCCCCCTGGTGGTAAGTCAGAGGAAACCGCTCATCAGGGACCAAAAATGCCTAATGGGGAAGCTTTCTGCTGTTGGCAGTGGTGGTGTGTGTGATGTGAACCTCCTCCTCTTTACAAACGAGGGGTAAATTCTACATTACATGAAAGTATTTGTGTGAGTAATTTTTACTATTGTCATTGAACTTGAACTGCAGTGATTTCTGAATCCATGTTGGCATGGGGAGAGAATGAGGCCAACTTCAGGGATAAAAGCCAGAGGACATTTGGGTTTGGCTTTGGAGATAGGGAGCTGAAAATGTGATGCATTGAATTCGAAAAGTGAGACCCCAGGGAGGATTCAGGATTCAAGTGCAGCTTGAATGGCCTTTTTGCCTTGGGAGGGAACAAGGAAGTGTTTCCATACTCATTCTTATCACCGTTGCTCAGTTCCTAAGATGATGTCAGATGTCAAAGAGCCTCCTTTGAACTCTGAGAATCAAGAGCAAAGAGGAGTGAGGGTGATGTCATGGACACCCACGGATGGACTGCAGCTGTAGGGAGTCCAAAGGTGGGACCCAGGAGAGAGAAGAAGGCCCACATCAGGGCAAAAATGTGTTGCCCCAATGCAAGAAAGAGGTCATGTAGACAACACCAAGAACTGAAAAGTGAAAAATCCATTTCAATAATTGTTTCATCTACACTTTGCCACACAACCATTTTGAATGAGTGTGTTCTCATTAAATTGCTAATTTTCAAAAACTGATTCTCTCTTTGTGGTTGACTGGGAAGTGTGCATGGATATTGATGTGAGCATCAGGAATGAACAGGGTAGTGGCCAGGTCATGATACGCTGTAAAGTGAGGAACTAGTGGGTTGGTTTTTTCATTGCCCAAGCTCTTTACTGCATGTTGGCATTTAAAGTCCTGTTCTTCCCAGAGACACCCCCAAATATACCACTTTCTGTGTGACCTTGAGCAAGTTACTTAACCTGCCTGGGCCTTGGTTTCCTCACCTGTAAAACGAGCATGATAATCAAATATCTTAGGTCGTCATGAGGACTGAGAGGGATAAGGTGTTAAAGCACCTACTACACACTCAACTAAATAGTACCTGTCTTTCTTCATTGTTTTTTTACTATTGCTGTTTGTACACAGTGGTTGAACATGCTCTTGAAATTACCTTGGAAAACCTAGCTGGGAACAGGCAACGTTTGCGTAGAGACCTTTCCAGTTATCCGAGCACATGGTCTTCCAGGAAGCAGCTGTAAACACCTGAAGCACAGCATTCGGACCGCTCACCCGCACTGGCCAACACACAGGAAGGAAAGTCCCATTAGTGGCCAGTGGAGGTGCTAGACCATGGGCAGAGAGCTTCCATATCCCATTTTGTCTCATACATTCACTCAGGGCTGCCCCTTGTTGAGCTACATTCATTTCTATTAGTTATTTCTGCCTACTAGTTATTTTCATTAATTATATGTCATTTCTGCATGGCCAACCCAACCCATGCACTGAATTTGACCTTGTCCCTGTCTGCAGTACACCCCACCTTGCAGGGCAGTGACAGTTCTTACTGTCAGGACTCCCTGAGATCTCTTGGGGGTCTCTTACTGTTGCTTGTGTAGACTCCTCCAATGAATTTAAGTTCCATGTAACTGCCCTCCCCTTAATGCCCAGCCCAGTGTCTCCTGGAGCAAATGCCAACTGAATCCCAGTTGATGACATGACTCAACAATGGTTGGGACCCATTTCGCAGATGAGAAAGGTGAGGGTCAGTCTTCTGCTGACTTTCTCTTATTTCTACTGGGAAAAGACTGGACATTACCACACCGGTACTCATCCTCCCCATCTTTGCAGTCGGAGATCCCATCACATCGAGCTGTCAGTTCAATGCACTTAAAAGATGACCGGCACCTATACTTCCCGGAGCAGTCAAAGTGGACTGAGGAAAAGGAGGAAGAAGATGGAAGTGTTTAAGGCTTCCTCAGTGTGCATCATTAACAACCAGCAAGGTCCTGGGGAAAAAAATAATCTTCTACTTGCCACGTGGTACTAAGCTTACCCATTAATAATGAAACCTGCATTGAAATTGCACTCCAATCCACCAGCCAGCTCTCAGGCCAGTTTCTGTTCTGAATTCTGAATCCCACCTTGTCTCACTAAGTGGCCTGGTCTGGGAGCCACATACAAGGTGAACTTAGACTCTAGAGGGCTCAAGGTCAAGAGCGAGACTGCAGGATGTGGGCTGACCAGCTGAGCAAGAAGCCCTGACTGCTCAGCCACCCATTCCACCACCTGTTTCTCTTACTCTGGGCAAGAAGTGAATTAACTGCGGACCACACAGCCGAGCAGGTGGCGAATTAAACTGATCCGTGATCCGGTTATTCAAAAGAGAAAACGAGAAATTGTTCTCAATTACAGACCCTTCAAATGACCCACTTTCTCAAAAGTCGCATGCACCTTCCTTTAAAAATAGCTGACGTGTCTGGCATTGCATGAATGGGTCCCTTTGTCCTCTCTGTCCCGGAGAGCACCACCCATCCCTCACCTGTGGGATGCTATTACATCAGCTGCCTTTGGACATTTCTAACTGGGCAGGTTCCTTGGTGACGAAGGCCCAAGCATGGCCAACAGCCCCCCACTTGGCCCCAGATTGGTTTTACACTCACACAGGCAAATAAAACTCAAAGTTAGCAAACAAGAAGGATGTTTGCTTCCAGTAATTAAGGCTGGGCGGTGGCTGGTGAGTGGGGGAAGCTCATGAAAGTTTAAGTGCTTGAGTAGGTATTTGAGAGCCTACTAAATAATGGATTGTACTCACTGCCCAGACCAATGGCCAGTGCTAAGATCAGTGTGATTATTCCAATGACAATGATAGGGAAGAACTTCAGTGGCAGCAGAGACAGGATCTGGGCAGCAACTGCATCTGCATCTAAAAACAGAAAGAGAGATAAAGAGCAGAAAACCATGAAATATCAATTATGAGTTTTTTAAAAAAAGTAATTTTTTAAACTATGCTTTAAATGAAAGTTTATAGTTTTAGTTTCTCATACAAAAATTTACACACACATTGTTGTGTGACCCTAGTTACTCTCCCTATACTGTGACAGCACACTCCTTCTTTCCATCCTGGATTTCCCATGTCCATTCAGCCAGCTCCTGACCCTCTGTGCCTTCTCATCTCTCCTCCAGACAGGAGCTGCCATTTAGTCTCCTGTATCTATTTGAGCTAAGAAGCATACTCTTCACGAGTATTATTTTATGTCTTATAGTCCAGTCCAATCTTTGTCTGAAGAGTAGGCTTTGGGAAAGGTTTCGGTTCTGGGCTAACAGAGAGTCCAGGGGCCATGTCTTCCAGGGTCCCTCCAGTCTCAGTCAGACCATTAAGTCTGGCCTTTTTATTAGAATTTGAGTTCTGCACCCCACTTTTCTTCTGCTCCATCAAGGACTCTCTGTTGTGTTCCCTGTCAGGACTGTCATTGGTGGTAGCTGGGCACCATCTAGCTCTTCTGGTCTCAGGCTGTTGGCGTCTCTGGTTTATGTGGCCCTTTCTGTCTCTTGGGCTAATATTTTCCTTGTGTCTTTGGTGTCCTTCATTATTCTTTGCTCCAGGTGGGTTGGGACCAATTGATGCATCTTAGATGGCTGCTCGCTAGCTTTTAAGACCCCAGACTCCACTCACCAAAGTGGGATGCAGAACATTTTCTTAATAAACTTTGTTATGCCAATTGACCTAGATGTCCCCTGAAACCATGGTCTTCAGACCCCTACCCCTGCTACTCTGTCCCTCGAAGTGTTTGGTTGTACTCAGGAAACTTCTTAGCTTTTGGTTTAGTCCAGTTGTGCTGACATCCCCTGTAGTGTGTGTTGTCCTTCCCTTCACCGAAGATAATCCCTATTTACCATCTAGTTAGTGAATACCCCTCTCTCTCCCTCCCCACCCTCATAACCAGCAAAGATATTTTCTTCTGTGTTTAAACCTTTTCTTGAGTTATTATAATAGTGTTCTCATACAATATTTGTCCTTTCTTGACTGACTAATTTCACTCAGCATAATGCCTTCCAGATTCATCCATGTTATGTTTCACAGATTCATCCTTGTTCTTTATCATTTCATAGTATTCCATTGTGTGAATATGCCATAATTTGTTTATCCATTCATCTGTTGATGGGCATCTAGGTTGTTTCCATCTTTTTGCTCTCGTGAACAGTGCTGCAGTGAACATGGGTGTTCACATATCTATTCATGTGATGGCTCATATTTCTCTAGGATGTACTCCAAGGGGTGGGATTGCTGGATAATATGGTACTTCTACTTCTAGCTTTTTAAGGAAGTGCTAAATTGATTTCCAAAGTGGTTGTACCATTTTACATTCCCACCAGCAGTGTATAAGCGTTCCAGTCTCTCCACAACCTCTCCAACATTTATTATTTCATGTTTTTTGGATTAACGCTAGCCTTGTTGGGGTGAGATGGTATCTCATTGTAGTTTTGATTTGCATTTCTCTAATAGCTAATGATCGTGAGCATTTTCTCATGTGTCTGTTAGCCTCCTGAATGTCTTCTTTGGTGAGGTGCCTATTCATATCCTTTGCCCATTTTTCAGTTGGGTTATTTGTCTTTTTGTTGTTGAGGTTTTGCATTTTCTTGTAGATTTTAGAGATTAGACACAGATCAGATTTGTCATAGCCAAAATTTTTTTCCCAATCTGTAGGTTGTCTTTTTACTCTTCTGGTGAAGTCTTTTGATGAGCATAAGTGTTTGATTTTTAGGAGCTCCCAGTTATTTAGTTTCTCTTCTGGTGTTTGTGCATTGTTACTTATGATTTGTATTGTGTTTATGCCATGTATTAGGGCTCCTAGCATTGTCCCTAGTTTTTCCTCCATGATCTTTATCATTTTTGATTTTATATTTAGGTCTTTAACCCATTTTGAGTTAGTTTTTGTGCATGGTGTGAGGTTTGGGTCTTATTTCATTTTAAAAAAAACTTAATTTCTTTTTTTAATCAAACTTCTGTGATCCATAGGGTTTTCATTGGCTGATTTTCAGAAGTTGCTCTCTAGACCTTTCTTCCTAGTCTGTCTTAGTCTGGGAGTTTCGCTGAAACCTGTTCAGCATCATAGCGACAGTCAAACCTTCACTGACAGGTGACTGGTGGCTGTGCTTCAGGTGCATTGGCTGGAAATCAAACCTGGGTCTCCCACATGGAAGCCGAGAATTCTACTACTGAATCACAAAACCCATTGCTGTCGAGTCAATTCCGACTCATAGTGACCCTATAGGACAGAGTAGAACTGACCCATAGGGTTTCCAAGAAGCGGCTGGTGGATTCGAACTGCCGACTTTTTGGTTAGCAGCTGAGTTCTTAACCACTGTGCCACTCCTCCAAAGAACCAGGCAGACTTGGCAGAAAACAATATGTAAAGAACATTAAGATACCCAAAGTACAAGCTTCTCCAGGCAACCAGGAGGATTTCCACTGATACCCTTCACCCTCAGAGAACACAAGCCACTTCGTACAAATTATCTCGTTAATTCTGAAAATCTACCTAAGCCATGGTTGCTTTTGCTAAAAGTTAGGAGAATCTGAATACAAAAAGGGGAGGAAAGCTTCTCAAGGGTCCCACAATTACTCAGGACAGAGACCCTTGTCTCTCTTCTCTCCGTTTTGGAGACGTTGAGCTGAAGGATCTCGCGTGGAAGAGCTAAGAAGGTTTTTCCCTTTTCTCTGCCAGTCTTTGGAAACCCACAATGTCACCATCTGGCAATAAAGAGTGTGATTGTAAAAGGGTCAGTATCACTCAGGGCCACCTAAAAAAGAAGAGAATTCCAGGACAAAAGTGGCAGAAAGAGGTGGAATGAGAGGCAAAGGGGAAAAGAACAAGCAGAAGGGAAAAGATAAGAGAGAAAATGGGAAAAGAGAAATAAGGAAATACATGCAGAATATTTGTGACTATGGCAAAGTGAGAAGAAACCAGAGACGGAAAGCAGGACTTTCTTTCAAGTCGAGCAGATTGTTTGTGGTTGTATCCCTAGAATCTACATCGGTGCGTGGCACACAGTAGGGACTCAAGAAGAAGCCTGAGCGTTATTTGTATACTCACCGTAATAAAAGAAAAAAAAAGTTTTAAATAAAAAGAAGCCTTCACCAAATTAACAATCCACTGCTGTTGAGATGTCCACCTTCCATTTTACACTCAAAGAATGGAAGGAACCCCCAAGAGCGACATCTAGTCATTCCAGTTGTTCTATATCCAAGAGTTAGATTTAGGACATGAGTCTGCATTGTAGAATTAAAGATGGTTACTGGATTAAAAACTTCATATGAGTTCATGTTTGCCCCTTGATTGATCCTCTGCATGGGTACCCTGCGTGGACGCTACACAGGCCCACCCCTCTACTCTGTTCTATCCTTGAGGATTGGGATAAAAGGGAAAATGCATAGCAATTCTCCAAAGAAGAGATACATATGATATATAAGCATGAAGAAAAAACTTCCATCTCTGGAAATGAAAAAAAACATATTAGACATATCAGCTACATATCAACTTGACAATGACTTTTTTTTTATTATTATACTCACTGGGGTCCAAAGTGAGAGGAAACGGACACCCATTTACAGTCCATAGGGTTATACATTGTGTAAAACTTCTGAGGGTCAAATTGCAAACACTTATCAGAAAGCTTAAAAATGGATGTAATTTTTAATCTAGGAATTTCACTTCTAGGAATTTATCCTAAAATGTCATCAGAGATGGATACGAATCTCTACTTAGAAGGATACTTAGAGGAATGGCATTTATAATAGTAATGCATGTGAAATAACATGTGTCCGACAAATGGGAACCAGTGAAATAACAAACAGTATATCCATAAATGGAATACTTACAGAGATAATCAGATTAGATTAATAATTAAAAGGTCAGCAAACTTTTACTGTAAAAAACCAGATAGTAAATATTTTAAACTTTTTGGACCATATGTTCTCTGTCACGCATCTACTTAACTCTGAGTTATAGCATGAAAGCAGCCATAGATGATACGAGAACAAATGAGTGTGTGTGGCTGTGTTCCAATAAAACTTTATTTACAATAGCAGGAGGTGGGCCAGGTTTGTTACATAGGCCAGTTTGCTGACCTTTGAAGAATATTTAATTATTTAAAGGCATGGAAAGATAAACATGATATTTTAAATTAAAAAAAAAAAGCCTCAAGATAATAAAAATAGTGTGTCTTATTCCCAAAAGCAAACATATAGTGAGCGAAATGAAAGCAAGAAGTCCAATAGCAAAGTATTGATAGGATTATGTCTGAGTAATACTGTCACTGCAAGTCATTTTTAAGAATTTTCTTGATTAGCTGTACTTTCTATATTTCTATAATGAATAATATGTTGTTTTATTTTTTTTTTAAGTTTCAAAAAGTTTTTGTTTCTCCCCACTACTAGAAATTAATCATAAAGAAATAATCTAAAATTTGCAGAAAGGAATATGCATATTTTGTATTGTTTATATTATAAAAATATTAGAAACAATTATAGGTCACATCACAGTAAAATGGCTATGTAAATTATGTAATGACTGGCTGGAATGTTGGATGCCATAAAAAAAGATTTTTATAAAAACCAAGTAGCACATGGAAAAGGCCTGTCTGTCTCTGCAACAGAAGTCCCTGGGGGGTGCAAACAGTTAAGTGCTTGGCTGGTAACCAAAAGGTTGGAGGTTTGAATCCACCCAGAGGTGGCTTGGAAGAAAGGCCAGGTCATCTATTTCCAAAAAATCAGCCATTGAAATTACCCATGCATCACTGAAAACTCTATGGAGCACAGTTCTATTCTGACACATATGGGTTGCCATGAGTCAAAATTGACTCTATGGCAACTCATTGGGGGCATTCGTGGTTCACTGGTAGATTTCTAGCCTTCTATGCAGGAGACCCGGGTTTGATTCCTGACCAATGCATCTCATGCACAGCCACCACCCATCTGTCAGTGGAGGCTTACATGTTGCCATGATACTGAGCAGGTTTCAGCAGAGCTTCCAGACTAAGACAGACTAGGAAGAAAGGCCTGGCTATTTCCAAAAACTCAGTCATTGAAAACCCTATGGAGCACAGTTCTACTCTGATACACATGGGATCACCATGATTTGGGGTCAACTCCACAGCAACTGGTTTGATTTTTTTTTTTTAATCTCTGCACCAAGCATGAATCCACAGACAAGAGTATGGATTCATATTAGGGGCAAGAATAGGAAGAGAATACATACCAATAAAAAAGAAGTAAGTTTTGAGATCAGGCAATTACAGGGTATTTTTTTTTCTTTCATTTACATTTGTGCCAATGGCTTTTGATGTATATTTTTAAACCGTGTATCTTTTTCTTACTAGAAACTTTTCTTTCCGCTTCCCCTCTGTCACCTGTCCACAGCTATTGTCTAGGTGGCTGAAAAGGAATCAAGTTAGGGTAACCACCATTCCGTGCTTTCTGAGACTTCAGTCAGAGCCCCACAGTGTCCTCGTTAGCAGCCCCAAAAAATGAGTTCACTGATTGCATCCAAGCTGACTTCCAGGATCAACAAGCACATGGTTCCTCTAGGCAAGTTCTTGCCAAAAAGATCCTAGCTGGATCAGCATTATGGAGTCTACTGCTTCCCTATGCATTTGAGACTTATTTACACAACCAGCTTTCCTTTGTTTGGTTGCTGGGAACAATTCTGTCACCTACAGGTGGATTTTCATCTAGTATCTAATACCGTTGGTGATGCCCAGCTGATTTTAGATTTTCAGGAATGATCGGGACCACTTGTTCTCAGTACTTCCTGGAGGTCTCAGAATATCCTGGCAAGGATCTAACCTCTGGCTGATGGGCAATAGAGAGCTCTCCGTTTCTGAAGACCTCCAACCAGAGATTTAAACACCTGTCTTCTGGTTGTTGGTGTTCACAGCTTGTCAGCAAGCAGCTGAACAAAACGATCCCCTCTCAAACGCCCCTTCTCTCGGAAATTCTGTAAGTCCCAGAAAGCATGTATGTCCTAGCTTGGGGGTATGCAAACACCTGGGAAGATATTTCCCCCCAGAGACACCTGGCCACATTCATCACCTAGATAGCAGAGGATAGGCAGAAATCACAAGGTCCCACCTCACCTCACCTACCTGTCGCCATAGGATTTAATTTCAAATCATCAAGGCCGAAGAGGGATCGAAAGGAGAAGGGAGTTTCTGTTGCAGGAGGTTCGTTTTCCCCCATCATGACTATTTCAGCGTTTCTGACATTCGGTTCCAGCTCGGGCTCCACCTCCACCTCCTTAACCAAGGAAGAACGCAAATCATTTTCTCTCCTATTTACAGTTTTAGCACCAAATGTGTCTTTATTATAGTTTCAATCTTAGAAATCCGACAATCCACATAAAGTGCATTCAGTATTCAGTATCAAATACTTGCTTGGTGAGAAGGCATTTTTTTTCCTGAACCACAGCAGATAAGAGAGAAGCTACAGGAGTTAGGCAAAAACTACTAAGAACGTAATTCCACTCAAACGGTGACTTTTCTGTTGTTAGTAGGACCAATCTTAATATTAATTTAACAGCACACTGTTAAGAGATATGCCCTTCCGCCACTTAGAAGTTATTGTATCATTATTTGTAAGAAAATAAATTCTTTTCAAGGCACTTTCCACCACTTTTTGTGACTGTTCTTGGTCTGCCCATATAAACTCGACTCTTTACCGATGTGTGTATCTGGTAAACCTACCAAAACATAAGAAATTCTCATACTCACATAACGGCTGCTCCCCCAAAATGCAGACAGCACCAAGGAAGGTTCACTCGACCACAGAATTAGCCATTTGCTGTAAACACAACCCTTTCCCTGGCTCACACAAGCGTGACCTAATTAAGGATGAAAGTATCTGGGTGTCCTTTGGGTGCCCAGTCTCCTCCTTAAGTAGCAAAATGAGGAGCGCTGGCTTCCAGCACGCCAACAGTGGGGCTCTGTTTGCTACGAGAGAATTCCACCTGATACACGGCCCAAGAGGCCAGCAGCCTTTTACGATCATTGCCTGGAACTCTGAGGGGGCGGGCAAGCAAGGAAATGGCAGGATTTTCCCAACTAAATTCCAATCCACGTTCCCAGGTATCAGCCGTGGACTCTCCAGGAGCCGGCTTCCTCCAAGGGCTAAAATCTACAGGGACTCCCATATGCAGCTAAAAATAGATGCTTAGAGCATCCATTTTTATTTCCTTTCTCATTACTTGTTGGAATGTTTGAAATTCAAAAGGGCACGAGTAAAGCATTTAAAACAAACTTTCTCTCTCTGCTGTTTCGCACGGCCGTAGTAAAAGCTAAGCCAGAGTTGTGGGCTAAAAAATGCTTATTCCGTTTCCATCACAAGAGTAGCTTTGCAGAATATCTTAGAAAACCAACAAATTCATATTCAGCCATTTTCGACTTTGGTTCTTGTTGGTACTTATCCCTTACTAGCCCCATGTAGCAAACTACATAGTTTAACTTTATGGGAAAGAGTCAGAGTCGATGGTAAGATGCTTTCTGAAACAGCAAACCTGAGTAAGAAAGTCCCCTTCCTTGGACGGTAGCACAAACACCACGAAATGTCGAGAAGTTAGTTTTAGGAGCAGATTATCTCCCCACCTCTCTTTTACTCACTATTTCTGGAGCGGCCATCATTAAAAGCAGAAATCATTTCCTTCTTCATTAGAAAAGTGAGTGTGCTGGGAGCAGCCCTCCAACAAGTTCATCCAATAGGGAAATATTGTCACCAAGTCACTTGGCCTTGTCGGCTCCATCATTGCAGCAAATGGCATTCTTGCGGGAGCGGGTGTAACCCAAGCTGGTTGTAGCTATCAGGTAGCCCTTGGCGGTATGACTACAGAGACCAGGGAGGGGGGAAAAATGTAGCTTGCCTTTGATTAGTAAGGTAAGCAAACCTTTTCAGAAACATCACATGAGAGAATTGGAACAGAGGTATTCCTTTTATCTAAAAGGACAGACAGGGACAGCCCAGGGCTGAGCAGGCAGCCAGAAAGAGAGGCAGGTGGGTCTCTTGCGTGGAGGTTTTCTAACTCTCTACCTGATGGAGTTCCCAGACAAAAGACAGGGAACTAAGTGTGTTCATCCCTGCACTCTAGGGGACACTTCATGCCCCATTCCACAGGGGACTCTGCTGTCCTGAGCCATGTCTGTGCACAATTCCATTTGAAGAGGACAAATCCCTGATGCTGTATGGAAGGGACTGAGTGTTTGTGGAAGGTATATACGTATATACGAGCTGTATATACCTGGAGTAGAACTAGATGGTCCATCATGTTGCTAGTTGCCATGGTGTTGGCTCTGACTCATGGTGACCTTACGTATAATGCAACAAAACACTGCCCAGTCCCTCACTATCTTCAGAGTCGTTGGTATGTCTGAGTCCACTGTTGAGGCTACATGTCAATCCATCTCATGGAGGATTTCCCTTGTTTTCACTGATCCTCCACTTCACCAAACAGGATGTCCTGTTCTAGCAAAGGATCTTTCCTGAAGATGTGTCCAAAGTAAGTGAGCCGAAGTCTTGCCATCCTCGCTTCTAAGGAGTATTCTGGTTGTATCTCTTATCAGACTAATTTGTTCGCTCTTCTGGCAGAAGAACATAGGGTTCCAGAATATAGGGGACAAGGTGGATCCATTCAGAGCCATTAAGAGGCCAAAGATGATGGGGGGACTTGGACAGGTACATGAGTGGTACAGATGGTGAGAACTGGATGGATGGGGGGTTGATTTAGAAGGTAGAGTTGGCAGGATTTGCCAGTGACAATAGCCAAAGAGACATCTTCAGACAGTCATGGTTTAATTCTGTTCCACGTTCTTGCCTTCTAGTACCTGTCCACACACCTGTCAACGTCTTCAACTGAATGACACGTGTTGAAGCCAGGTAGCTTTCAAGCTCATATATCCTCCATGTCTTAGTCATCTAGTGCTGCTCCAACAGAAATACCACAAGTGGATGGCTTTAAAAAGAGGTTTGTTCTCTCACAGTCCAGTAGGCTACAAGTCCAAATTCAGGGCATCAGCTCCAGGGGGAGGCTTTCTCTCTCTGTCAGCTCTGGAGGAAGGTCCTTGTGATGCATCAGTCTTCCCTTGGTCTGGGAACTTCTCTGTGCAGGAACCTCAGGTCCAAAGGATGCACTCTGCTCCTGGCAGTTTTCTTGGTGGTATGAGGTTCCCATGTGTCTTTGCTCACTTCTCTCTTTCATATCTCAAAAGAGATTGCATTAAGACATTATCTAATCTTGTTAACCTCATCAGTATAACCTCATCACAGTGATAGAATTTACAACACATAAGAAGATCACATATAATCTCATCATAATGATAGAATTTACAATACATAAGGAAATCACATCAGATTACACAATCATACAACACTGAGAATCATGACCCAGCCAAGCTGACAGATATTTTTGGAGGACACAACTCAATCCATGACACTCCATTAAGCCTTTGTCACTACTCTCTCCATCCCTGGACATTTCCACTTAAAGTCAGTGCCAGGAAATTTGGAACTTAATTTTTTCTTTGCTTTTACATGGGTGTTATAGGTGATGCTCCCAACTGCAGTACAGCTCTTGAGGAAAGTAGTCTAAGACTTATTCTCATTCCTAAGCCCCAACAGTGCCCAGTACAAGGATGAGTGTGTGATAGGGGCTTCGTACTCATTGATGAGTTGATTATGATCTTAAGATGGAAGAACAATATTGAACAGACATGCAGATAACCAAAAGAAATCATGAAACCAAATGAACTAATTTTTTTGACATATGTGTCATAGGTAGGTCGAAGGTCAAGCCAGTTAACTACGGGATAGTAGGGAGTAGACCCATGAGGGCGGTAGACTTCCATCACTATAAAGCAGCCTTGTCAAAACTTGCTATTGCTACTCTTTCCAATTTTAGCTCTTCTACTAAGTGTGCTGTGGTATCACATTGTGGTTTTAATTTGCATTTCCCTGATGACTAATGATGTTGAGCAAGTTTTCATTTCCTCATTGGCCTTGTGTGTATCTTCATTTGTCAAGTCTCCACTTAGACCTCTTGCTCATTTTTAAACTGGGTAGTTTTTCTTATTATTGATTATAACAGTGTGTGTGTGTGTGTGTGTGTGTGTGTTGACAAACACACACACACACACACACTGGATACAACTCCTTATTGAGGAATACATATGGTAAATATTTTCTCCCCGTCTGTGACTTGCCTTTTTATTATTATTTTTTTATGGTGTGTTTCAAAAAGCAGATATTTTAAATTACGATGAAACCCATGCTTTTTAGGCCCTAAGAAAGCTTTGCAAACTCCAACATAGCAAAGATTTTTCTTCTAGGCTTTCTTCTAGAAGTTTTATAGTTTTAGCTTTTAAGTTTGACTATTACATAGTTTGAGTGAATTTGTGTGTGTGATGTGAGGTAAGAGTTGAGGTTCACTTTTTTCCATATAAATATGCAGTTTTTCTAGCACCATTTGTTGAAAATGTTTTCCTTTCTTCCATTGAATTGTTTTGGCCCTTTTGTTAAAAATCAATTATCCAAAATTAGACGAAAATGATACATGTGTAGGTCTTTCTGCACTCTTCAACACCACACTATGGCAACCCAACTTTAAAATTTATATGAAAAAGCAAAGGACCTATAAGAGACAAGACAATCTCAAAAAAAGAGAAGATGGAATCAGAGGGATCAATACTATAGTAACTAAGACAGTATAATATGGAGACAAAAAGGGACAACTCAAATAAAGAACACAGGAGGACTTCCGGTAAAATGGCGCTCTAGGCAGAAGCACCATGCCGTCCCTCCACAGCAAAGGTCCGAAAAACTAAGCCAAACAGAGAATACAACAATCCTGAAACCCTAAAACATCAAATGAAGAGATAAAGAACTCAGCCAAGCACCAAATGGAGTGAGAAAACTGACAGAGAATGGAGAGCAAGGAGAGATTCATGCAGAGGTCCCCTATCAGCTAACGCGGTGTGGATCCGCCATCTTGGACTCCTATCAGAGAGTAGCAAATGGGAGGTATGAGAAAGCAGCTTCATGGAGCCTCCAGCAGGAGACAAAACAACTGGTTATTTGCGATATACGCTTTCCCACCCCCCACCCTTCTTCACCCCCACTCGGCCTCCTCTCTTCCTGCGGCCACAGTCTCTTGGCCAGGAAGCACCCGCTGCTTGGATTCTACCTGTCCACACTGGCCAGCTCCCTGAGTACCATTTGTTGGCTGCTGGTGGTGCTTTTTTCTGCTTCTTTTGATTTCTTCCTTAGCTCTCACCACCTCCCCTTCCTTTTGCTCAGATACCTGACTCCATGCGCCATCTTTGCTTCTTCTTAAGGGGCTGCGGAGCTCCATTCGAGTGTGGAACTGCTTCCCAGTCTGGGCTGCCACGCAGGTGGGATCCTGGGGCTTTTGTTTGTTTGTTTGTTTTGAATTGTTTGTTTGTTTTCTTTTCCTTTTCTCAAGGTGGGAGCCCATTCTGGCTGGGCAGTGCTACACGGCTTGGGACCTACCCCCTCAGCTTGCGCAGATGCACAGAGAAGTCCCTGAGTGCATTTCTTTTTTTGTGGTTTTTTCTTTTATCTGTTTTTTGGGGGGCTTTTCTTGTTCTTTTTTTTTTTTATTTGTTTTGTTTACTTTTCCCTCTTTTTCCCTTTTTGTCTTTCTTCACTACTCAGTTTCTTGTCTCTCTATATCTTCCTTCTCTTCCTGTTCCCTGAATACCTGTCTCTGAATACCTCTACACCTTCTAGCCAGGTTGTACTTCAACACCTGGGAACAACTTCCCCAGACCTTGTAGCCGCACTGGTGGGATCCCTGGAGCTTTGGTGTTCTTTTTTCTTTCTAATTTTTATTCATTCATTATTTGCTTTTCTTTTCTTTTTCTTCTTCTTCCCCTTTTTGTTTTTCTCTGTTTGATAGTCTCTCATCTCTCCACTCCAACGGCTAGCTCCCCTAGCACTCTTTTTTGTTTGTCTATATGTTTTTGGCTCCTGTTCCTCTCTCCTCTCTCCCATACCCATCGTAGCTCCACACATCACAATCTCCCCACTCCATCCTGCCTACCTGCACCGTGTGCTTATCATCACACCACCAAGCAGCACAGGCACGGCCTACCAGAACCTGCCCTGCATTGATTACTGACCTGCCCTGGTGGCTGTAGTAAGTGTCACAAAAAACCCATCCCAGCAACTCGTCTTCAACTAGACCTGCTCTGCTGAGCGACTGACCCTGCCAATTGGAGAAGGAGGCAAAAAGTATCATGCCCACAGATGAGCAAACAACAAAGAACACACAGCCCGCCTGCTCAGACATAGCCAAATTAAAAAAAAAAAAAAAAGGACGAAACAAATCTACAATCAATAAATGAGAAAAATAACTACTGAATGCCCCTAAGACAGCAGACAATATCAAAACATTTACAAAAACAGGACAGGATGTTCCCAGTAGGCATCCAAAATAAAACACCAGATGACTTTCCAGCAGAAGAAAAGGCACTAGAACTACCTGATAGGGAATTCAGATCTCTAATACTCAGAATTATCCAAGAGTTGAAGCAAAAAGCAGACAAAAATGAGGAAAAATAGACAAATTCATGGAAAAGGCAGTCAAATAAAGAACATAATGTAGTCCAGAAACAAGCTTATGCATAGACAGACACTTGACTCATAATAAAAGTTGTACTGCAATTCACTGGAAAAGTTGGTCTTTTCAATGAATTGAAAAAAAAAAAAACTACTGCCTTCGAGTTGATTCCAACTCATAGCGACCCTGTAGGACAGAATAGAACTGCCCCATAGGGTTTCCAAGGAGTGGCTGGTGGATTTGAACTGCCGATCTTTTGGTTAGCAGCCAAACACTTAACCACTGCGCCACCAGGGTTCCTTCAATGAATAAAGGTGCTGGAAAGTAAACGAACCTTTATCCCTACCTCACGTCATCATTGTTGTTGTGTTGTTGTTAGCTGCTGTCAAGTCAGCCCCTGACTCATGCGACCCCATGCATAACTGAACAAAATGCTGCCTGGTCCTGTGTCATCCCGATGATCAGCGGCAGATCAGACCGTTGTGATCCATATGGTTTTCACTGGTTGATTTTCGAAAGTGGATTGCCAAGTCTTTCTTCCTAGTTCATCTTAGTCCAGAAGCTCTGCTGAAACCTGTTCAGCATCATAGCAACATGCAAGCCTCCACTGACAGATGGATGGTGGCTGTGCATGAGGTGCATTGGTCAGGAATGGACCTAAGTCTCCCACATGGAAGGCAAGAATTCTACCACTGCACCACTACAGCCCGTACTTCACACCATACATGGAGTTAATTCAAATGGATCATAGAACTAAATGTGAATAGAAAAAGTAATAAAGCTTCTAGAAGAAAACATACGAGACTATCTTCATCACTTCGATCAGTAACAATTTCTAGAACAGGATACTGAAAGCTTGAACCATAAAAGAAAATTTGATAAACTAGATTTTTTTCATATTAAGAACTTCTTTTTATGATCCTATGAGTCGGAATCAACTCAATGGCAACAACTTTGGTTTTTGGTATTTATGATCCAAGGAGCCCTGGTGGCACAGTGGTTAAGAGCTATGGCTACTAACCAAAAGGTTGGCAGTTCAAATCCACCAATGGATTCTTGGAAACTCTATGGGGCAGTTCTACTCTGTCCTGTAGGGTCGCTATGAGTCGGAATCAACTCGATGGCAACGGGTTTGGTTTTTTTGTTCATTTATGATTCAAGGACATCATTGAGCAGATAAAAAGGCAGACCACAGCCTGAAAGAAAATAGTACCAATAAATTCATCCAACAAAAGACTTGTCTCCAGGGTTCCCACAAGTTGATAAGAAAAATCTCACAATCCAAAAAGGACAAATGGGTAGGCGATTGGAACAGGCACTTCCCCAAAGAAAATTCCAATGACCAGCAAGCATGTGAAATGATGCTCAATGTCATGACCATTCAGGGAAATGCAAGTTAGAGCCACAGTGAGACACCACCACACACCAACCAGAATGACTACAATTTGAAAGTTTAGCAATTCCAAGTGTGGGAAAGGGTGCAGAGGAGCAGGAACCCTCATCCACTGCCATTGAGAGGGCAAGTTTAGAATGGGTGCTTTGTACAACTGCTTGGTGCTTTCTAATAAATCCTGCACGTATGCTATGACCCAACAATTCCATTCGCAGATATATACCTAACTGAATACCTGCATAGGGCACAAAAAGACATGTCAACAATGCTCACAGCAGCATTATCCATAACAACAGAACAACCAAACACCACCCAAATGTACATTAACCAATAAATCGCTAAATTACAGGTTATTCACTACACAGCAATAACAGTGAGACAACAAGGTGGCTACGTTTCACAAACATAATTTTGGGCAAAAGAAACCAGACACAAAAGAGGGCGTACTACCTGGTTCTAGTTATGAAAGGTTCAAAATTAGACAAAATCTATGTACCTGGAAGCACAGTGGTTACCTTTGTGGGGAAGGGAGAAAATAGCTAAGAGGAGGTGGGGGTGCTTCTGAGATGCTGGTCATGTTCTAGAGAAGAGCTTCTCAACCTCAGCACCATCGACATTCTTGGCCAGATCATTCTTTGTTGTGGGGGCTGCCCTATGCATTGTATGATGTACAGCAGCATCCCTGGCCTCTCCCCACTAGAGGTCTGTATTGTCCCCACTCCCACCCCATCCCTGTTGTGACAACTGAAACTGTCTCCAGACATTTCCAGATGTCCTTCAGGGGTGTCTTAGTCATGTAGTGCTGCTATAACAGAAATACCACAAGTGGATGGCTTTAACAAGGAGAAATTTATTTTCTCACAGTCTAGTAGGCTACAAGTCCAAATTCAGGGCATCAGTTCCAGGGGAAGGCTTTCTCTCTCTGTCAGCTCTGGAGGAAGGTCCTTCTCATCAGTCTTCCCCTGGACTAGGAGCTTCTCTGGGCAGGAACCCCAAGTCCAAAGGACACGCTCTGCTCCTGGTGCTTCTTTTTTGGTGGTATGAGGTCCCGCATTCTCTGCTTGCTTCCTTTTCCTTTTATCTCTTGTAAGATAAAAGGTGGTGCCGGCTACCTCCCAGGGAAACTCCCTTTACATTGGATAAGGGATATGACTTTAGTAAGGGTGTTACAATCCCATCCTAATCCTCTTAACATAAAATTACAATCACAAAATGGAGGACAACCACACAATACTGGGAATCACGGCCCAGCCAAACTGTTAACACATTTTTTGGGGAACATAATTCAATCCACAACAAGGGGCAAAATCGTCCCCCGTAGAGGACCAGTGTTTGATTGCTCGTCCTGGGGGGTAGTTAGGTGTGTGAGCTCACATTATGAAAATTCATGAAACTGTATATGTATGATGTGTCCGCTTTTCAGTATGCATACTATACTTTAATAAAAAAAAAGCTAAATATTTCAAATTGAAAAATAAGTCAATGCATAACAGAAGAACACAAAAGTTTTAAAGCTAGTAGGGACGATAGCTGTCCCCTGGCTTCTAACTGAAAGGTTGGAGGTTCGAGTTCGCCCAAAGGCACCTCGGAAGAAAGGCCTGACAACCTACTTCCAAAAAACCAGCCATTGAAAACCCTATGGAGCACGGTTCTACTCTGACACACATGGGGTCACCATGAGTCAGACTCAACTCTATGGCGACTGTTTTGTTGTGGTGGTTGTTGTCTAACTCCTTGTTTGCAGATAAGGAGAGTCAGACCCAGGGTCACTCAAGGTCATGTGACTAGAAAGACTCAGCAGAGAACCGTCACCCCGACTTCTTCCCCCTTGCTCTTCTTCCTCCACAGCTCTCACACAGACTTGCCCTCAAATGCCACCCAAGTAGGTATCAATGCTGACCCCAGGCAGGGGCTCGGTTGGCCCTTCTGAACCAGAACCCCATTGTGGAAAGGTTTAGAGTTGGTAGACACTGTACTCCTGCCCTCTGCAAGGAAAACTCTGAAAACCAATTATCTCATGCAAACAGGATATTAGCTTTTGTCAGAAAGATCAAAAAAAGCTTGAGGTTTTCTCTTAACAGCCTCAGCCTCCCCTCCCTCTCACTCTCTTCTTTATCTACTGATTCCGGGCTGCAAGGCAAACCTCTCCAACTGTGGGCAGGAAGAGATGGCAGCGGGTGAGACGCAGCTCTACGCCAAGGTCTCCAACAAACTCAAGAGCCGAAGCACCTCCTTGCTCCTGGAGCCCCTCCTGGCGCTGGGCTTCCCGGCACACACCGCGTGAGTACTGCCGCTGGCAGGGAGACCCGGGACCGGACTAGGTGTCCTGGAGCCAGATCCTTCTGCTACCCGGCTGCGGCCTGGCCACAGCGTTGCAGGCAGCTCAGAGCGCTCACTTCCTGTCGAGGGGTACACCTCGCAGTGCGGAAAATTGTCTCACAAAAAGGCCCTTCCAGCTTTTCATAGATGAGATGATCTTTACCTTTTAAATACAAACTCTGCTGTTTGGCTGATTGGGGTCACCCTGAAATTTGGGGAAATGAGACCTTAGTTGTTACCGTGGCTGCACGCGTTTCTCAGGGTTTGGAAAAGTTTGCTCCTGGTTGCAACCCCGGGATGTAGCTCTGAAGCTGTCGTTTCAAGGTATTTCAGAGTCTGATTGGAAAGGCCCCAAGTCCAGTGACTCTCTGAGGCGGGGGTCCATGTTAAACTGTGCAGGGCAAAGCATCCAGACTTACGGAAAATTTCTTGAATGTCCGATGATGAAACGAAATGGTTAAGAAACTGCAGATCGGTGGTAGGTGGTCCGATTTCCGCAAGGGAAAGGTCCACACGTGGAAACTGTGAACCTCAGGAGCTGTTCCTCTCAGAGAGAGAAGAAATGCCCTAAAACCAGTGAGCGATGGTCCACATACTGATCTCAGCTTTCCTATTAAACTGATTTCTCAGATCTGCTTCTTTTCAGGTGCTTATTTGCATGGGGAAATATATCAGAAATGTACTTTAGGTAACCTACGATTTGGGAGGCGGCAAACTTTCCTTAAACCTTATAACAAGACCCTGGCCATTTGGATGAAATAAGTTTGAAGTTAAACCATGGCTTCCAACTGGTTCCCCTGCTGAGAATCTGCCTTTCTAACAAGTTCCCAGGAAGTTATACGTAAGAATCACCTGGGCATTCTTGTTAAAATGTAGATTCTGATTCAGTATATCTGGCATGGAATTGCAGATTCTCAGCAGGGAACTTGTTAGAAAGGCAAATTCTCAGCAGGGGTTCAAACGGGTCTAGCCTTGAGCTAGACCCCTTTCTTCTCCCTCAGGAGATCAGGACATTGCTGGCATACTTGTTGCTGTTCATTGCTGTTGAGTCCACTCTGACTCGTGGTGACATTATGTATAACAGAACTACATGTTGCTGGTCCTGTGCCGTTACCTTCACTATAAACCAGGGGTTTGTTAAATGGGGAGAGGAATATAGGGGTGCAGGCTGCCTGCTGCCAGCTGGACACCATCCTTGGCAGTTCGGATCCAGTACCTTTCTTCTAATCCTCACCAGCCCACTTTGCAGATATGGATTCTGAGACTCAGGGCAGTTACTAAGGGCAGGACTTGAACTCGGCTCTCACTGCCTCTTAACCCTACCTCTTTCTACTACCAGTTGCCCTGGTGCTACATCATGGACTCATACTCAAAACACCTTCTAATCTAAATATTAAACTTATGTTGGGGTAAGGAGATGCATTTTATGGCTTCCTTGTTAAAACCTCTCTAGGCAGCCACGTCCCCATTGGTATTCACCAAAATAGCACCAATTGATCAGCCTAGTATAAGGTTCCTTATCGAGTCTATTTCCACCCTTAATTTCTGAGCTAGTTCTTGTTGTTGTTAGTTCCCATCCAATTGGCACTGACTCATGGTGACCTTGTGTACAACAGAACAAAATGTTGCCCCATCCTCTGCCATCTTCATGATCATTGGCATGTTTGAGTCCCTTGTTGCAGCCATTGTATAGTGCCTTCCAAACTAGGGGGCTCATCTTCCAGCACTATGTTGGACAATATTCTGTTGTGATTCACAAGTTTTTCATTGGCTAATTTTCAGAAGTAGATAGCCAGGACTTTCTTCCTAGTCTGTCTTCGTCTCAAAGTTCCACTGAAACCTGTCCACCATGGGTGACCCTGCTGGTACTTGAAATACCGGTGGCACAGCTTCCAGCATCACAGCAACACACAAGCCACCAAAGTGGGACACACTGAGAGATGGGTGGTGGCTGAGTAAATTATCTTAACCATTTTTCACACCATTCAGCGTGGTCTAGTTCAAACTGGACTGGATCACAATGATGAATTAGACACAGCCTGGCCTCAGGGAACTCGAGGTCTAGTAGGGGAGACACGTGTGCATGCGAGTTACTGTGATGGGAACCGTTATGGACATCTATGTGATAGGAAACAAAGGTTGCTGTTGCTGTTTGTTGCCATAACATTGATTCTGACTCATGGAGACCCCTTGTGTATAGAGCAGAGCTGCCTTATAAGGTTTTCAAGGCTGTGATCTTTCCAAAGCAGATCTGCCTTCTGAGGAGCCTCTGGGTAGGTTCAAACGGCCAACCTTTCGGTTAGTCAAGTGTTTAGATGTTTGCACCAACCAGAGACTCCACAGGAGAGAGACAAAGGCAAGTGTTGCACACCAGCTCTGCCTGGGCGGTTTGGGGGAGGGCTTCCCAGCGGACATAATGTTTGAGCTGAGCCTCAGGGTATCGGTACAATTTCTCTGAGGGTGCATTGAGGTCGTTGTTGTTAGTGGCCAACCAGTTGGCTCCAACTCATAGCAACCTTATGTCTAAACAGAACAAAACGTTGCTCAGTCCTGCGCCATCTTCATGATCATTGGTATGTTTGAGCCCATTGTTGCAGCCATGGTGTCAATCCATCTCATTGAGGGTTTTCCTCATTTTTGCTGACCCTGTAATTTACTGGTATGGCTTACCTTTTGTTATGATACTGGAAGCTCTGCCACCAGTATTTCAAATACCAGCAGGGTCACTCATGATGGTCAAGTTTCAGTGGAGCTTCCAAACTAAGACAGACTAGGAAGAAAGACCTGAGCATCTACTTCCAAAAATCAGCCAGTGAAAACAACATTGGAGTATTTCTCCTTTGGGCAGGAAACACATATGCAAAGGCCAGGTGCCCCAGCACAGTGAATTCTAGAACCCCCAAGTGGTTCCATGTTGCTTTGGTGCAGGAAGTGTGGGGAAGAGTGGGGGAGATGGGACTGCAGGAGTGGACAGATGTCAGGTCACCAGGCCCCTGGGCACCGTGCAAAGGACCAAAGCTTGGGAATCAAGGAATGAAAATGAGTGGGGAGGGATAAGAGCAGGTTTGCATTTTCAAGAGAGAAGAGCATGATGGTGGCCCGTGGAGGACGGAGACCTGGTCATGCACACTCTAGCTGCAGACATCTGATGGTCTAGGCCTCATCAGAACACCTTGAGATCTGATGTGCTGTAGGACCACACCCGCTTTTCTCACCCTTCCCCAAATATGGAAGACTTGGCTCTGAGTGTCCCTTGTGCTCTGTACATTCCATAGGCTCAAAGCGCTCGCAGCAACTGGCAGAAAGACGGCAGAAGAGGCACTAGATTGGTGAGTGGGGCTGGTTTTGCAGACCTGGGGACTGTTTGCTTGAACTGTCCTGGGTGTGGGGACTCTTGCTATCCAAGGGGAAGCTGGGAAGTGCCCGGTGCCTTCTGGGAGGGACTGGGGGCCACTGTGGAAGCAAAACAGAATGACCACCACACCTACCCACCCAGCACGTAGGGAAGGAAAGCAAGAAGAGAGCCCTGGTTTAAAAAGGGAAGAAAGAACTTTGAACAAAGCTGCCTTCGGTTACAAATCTGATTTAATCCACATTTTGAGTGTCAAAGAAGAAAAAAGTTCACGTGATTTGTTGAATAAACAAGGATGAGCCATTTTTGCTGATATACCAGAGAGGGCCTCCACCATCTGAGGCTATCTCTGATGGGGACGGAATGCCCTGGGAGTAGTGAATCTCCTTAAGGCATTTTTGCCCTTTAAGGGGCCCGTGGCCATGGAGGGGTGGGGTGAGGGGATCTGGGTTCCAGGCGGCTCCTAAGCCCTGAATCCACTGTAACACCCTCTGCAAGCTGCTCACTGTCATGGGCTCTAAAACCCAGTCCAGCCCCAATGTACTCCCTTATGCCATAGTGATTCCCTACATGGGAAATCCCCCACACTCTAACAGTGGGACATTGTTGTTGGTGTTAGCTGCTGCTGAGTTGATACCAACTCATAATGACCTCATATGTGCAGAGTAGTACTGCTCCATAGGGTTTTCAATAGCCGTGATCTTTCAGAAAGCAGATCACCAGGTCTCTATTCTGAGGCACCACTGGATGGGTTTGAACTGCCAACCTTTTGACTTGTCCAGCGCTTAGCGTTTGTGCCACCCAGGGCTTCCAATCATGGGATAAACACCACGAACCAAACAATACAAACCAGGTCCCACATTCTGGAAAAGGCAAAATTATGGAGACAGTGAAGACATCAGGGCTCAGGGGAGTGGGGAAGGATGGAGCACAGGGCATATTTAGGGCAGTGAAGCTATTCTGCAGGATGCTGTAATGATGGACACAGGATATTATGCATTTGTCAAAACCCATAGGACTGTATAACACAAAGAGTGAGCCCTAATGTAAACTATGGACTTTAGTTAGCAATGTATCAGTATTAGCTCATTTATTGCGATAAATATACCATACTAATGGAATCCCTATTGCCTCTGAGTCCATTCCAACCCATAGTTGGCTATCTTAGTTATCTAGGGCTGCTATAACAGAAATACTGCAAGTGGATGGCTTTAACAAACACTGTTTGTTACACAGTTTAGGAGGCTAGAAGTCTGAATTCAGAGCACCTGTTCGAGGTGAAGGCTCTTTCTCTATCGGCTCTGGGGGAAGGTCCTTGTCTCTTCAGCTTCTGCTTCTTGATTCCTTGTAGATTTCTACGTGTCTTGGCATCTATTTTCCCCCATCTCTCTTGCTCGCTTGCTTAATCTCTTTCATATTCCAAAAGGAATTGACTCAAAATACACTAATCTTGCCTCATTAACATAACAAAGAAACAATTCCCAGATGGGATTATAACCACTGGCAAGCCCGTTAAACCTACTGCTGTCAAGCTGATTCCAACTCATAGAGACTCTATAGTACAGAGTAGAACTGCCCATAGGATTTCCAAGAAGAGGCTGGTGGATTCAAACTGCCCAACTTTTGGTTAGCAGCCGTAGCTCTTAACTGCTGCGCCACCAAGGCTCTTTATAATAATGGAATAAAAACAACAACAAACCATTGCCGTCGAGTCAATTCCGACTCATAGCAACGCTATAAGACAGAGTAGAACTGCCCCATAGGGTTTCCAAGGAGCGGCTGATGAATTTGAACTATTGATCTCTTGGTTAACAGCCATAGCTCTTAACCACTGTGCCACCAGGGCTCCTTATACTAATGGAATAGTATGTTGATAACACATGTTATTAATAACATGTCTGTAATATTAAACATGTTAATAATAGAAACCATGTGCAAAAAACAAACCCATTGCCGTCAAGTCGATACCGACTCATAGCGACCCTATAGGACAGAGTAGAACTGCCCCACAGAGTTTCCAAGGAGCACCTGGTGGATTCAAACTGCCGACCTTTTGGTTAGCAGCTGTAGCTCTCAACCACTACACCACCAAGGTTTCCATGTGCAAAAGGGAGGGGGATATATGGGAATTCTCTGTATTGTCTGCACAATTTTTCTAAAACCACTCAAAAAAATAGTTCATTTTTAAAAAAGATAAATCAGGCCCCACAAAGCTGGAGTGCCCCCCACCCCAAGCCGCATGGTAAATACAGATCATGAATCTCAAGTGCCCAGCGTGTTCTCAGTGGATACCTTCTTTCCCCAAAAAACTCTAAGCCAAGGGCAAAAATAACGGAACCCCTCCAAAGGACAAAGGGAAATGCCCAGAACCCTCGGAGGTGGTCTAACTCTAATGCCAGTTGCCAAATTTAAATTGGAAGGCAAGCCCACTGCTGTGAGGGGGCATGGTGGGCACCTGCCAATTCCACTAATTACCAGTAAGGCTAGAAGACCCACCAAGGCACAGAGTCAGTGGGGTCCCCTAAACGCACATAAGAATGGGCCCAACCTCACTGGTAGCCAAGGAAGTGCAAGTTAAGATACCATTAAAAACAACAAAGATAGATTTAAGTGCAGTTGGATGAGGGGAAGGCTTCAGTGCCCTGCTACTCTGCTAGTCACACTGCAGAAGGCAACCACCTAGTACTTCCATTTCTCAGTATACTCCCTGGAGCAACACAAAAGGCCTAAAAAGACATGTACAGAGATGTTACAGTGTTCTAATACATGTTTTAAAAAGAAAACAAAAGTCCATCACTATGGGTGTGGATAAATGAAATATCACAGATGTATGTGATGGAATATTATAGAGCTCTTAAAAGGTCTTCACTGACAAATTTAACAAGATACATATGTATCAACCTGGAAAAATCTCAAACGCATGTTGATGAGTGAAATTTGCAAGTTGCAGAATAATTTGAATAGTAGCTTATGATTTATATAAAACACACACAAATGCTATCTACAGATTTGTTACATTGCTGTAGATTGCTATAAATTGCTAGCCTCAGATTAGTTAAATTCTGGATGAGTACAAAACAGTTCACAATGAGATACTTCTGGAAAGGAGGAAGGAATCAGTCTATTTTTTTTAAGGAGAATGTATATGTGTGTAACTAATGTAATTAAAATTTCATAAAATAAAATAAACCAGGCATCAGACATTGCCCCCCATAAAATTAAGAACAAAAACTGATGGATCATCCTATCATGCCTTAACACATTTGGAAACCCTGGTGGTACAGTGGTTAGAGAGTTTGGCTGTTGTCTTAGTCATCTAGTGCTGCTATAACAGAAATACCACAAAGTGGATGGCTTTAACAAAGAGAAATTTATTTTCTCACAGTCTAGTAGGCTACAAGTCCAAATTCAGGATGTCAGTTCTAGGGGAAGTCTTTCTCTCTCTGTCAGCTCTGAAGGAAGGTCCTTCTCATCAGTTTTCCCCTGGACTAGGAGCTTCTCTGCACAGGAACCCCAGCTCCAAAGGATGCTCTCTGCTCCCAGTGCTTCTTTCTTGGTGGTACGAGGTCACCAACACTCTGCTTGCTTCCCTTTCCTTTTAAATCTTGTAAGATAAAAGGTGGTGCAGGCCACACTGCAGGGAAACTCCCTTTATGGTGGATCAAGGATGTGACTTTAGTAAGAGTGTTACAATCCCACCCTAATCTTCTTTAACATAAAATTACAATCATAAAATGGAGGACAGCCACACAATACTGGGACTCATGGCCCAGCCAAACTGATAAACACATTTTTTGTGGGGGGCATAATTCAATCCATGACAGCTGTTAACCAAAAGGTCAGCAGTTAGAATCCACCAGGCTGTCTTTGGAAACTGTATAGGGCAGTTCTACTCTGTCCTATAGGGTCGCTATGAGTCGGAATCGATTTGACAGCAATAGGGTAATGGGGTATGCCCTCCAACCCTGTGGTTGGATCACAATGGTAGAGGGGGGCTGTGAAGAAACAGTTGTCCTGGAATCACAAACCCCAAGTAAAGAAGCCCTCTTTCATATATCTTTTTTAATATAACATGTTTAAGTAATTTTCTCCCATTAATAACTCCACCCCCTACCCCATTTCTCCCTCCAACAACTTTCATCTCTTCTAGCTGATTATTCTGGCATTTATTTTCATAGCTGTAAATAAGAAGCATATTGCTGCTTTTGAGTTTTCAGTTTTAGATGTTACCTACTTCTCTTTCCTCACTCAACTCCAGCACGCTGCACCTTTCCCACACCCCATCCTCAGAGTACAGATTTTCTTCATGATCTTGGTTAACTCCACAGTCAGTGTTTACATTTCTATGACCCTGTAAACACCATTCAGAGCTAAGCCATGTACTACATTATAATTACTTTCCTTTTTCTGCTTAACCTTTTGTTTTCCCTAGAGTTTATAATAGCCTTGGTTTTTCATTTGCTTAGTTTTCTTTATATACATTGCCATCGAGTTATTCTGCCTCATGGTGACCCCCTATCTTACAGAGTAGAACTGCTTCATAGGATTTTTCTTGGCCAGGCCTTTCTTCCATGCCATTGCTGGTGGGTTAGAACCTCCAATCTTCAGGTTCGTAGCCAAGTTTGCATCACAGATGTATCTTAGTTTTCCTTATACTTATCATTAATTCAAGCTCAAACTGTCTGCCAACTGTTGATGTTTCTTCTCAAGATTTTCAAACACATTTGGTTCTCTATTAATCTCGTCTTCTTGGAGAAATCTCTCCTAGGACCTTCTGATCTGTTCCAGGCTGTACCATTTGTCCTCTACACCAGGTGTGTGGATCCTAGGGTTTCCTCTCAACATCATCCTGGGGATTCCCCCTGCCTCTCCCATATGTGTGATCAGTTTTCCTGTGTCCACGCCTTCCTCTTTTTTGGTTATGAGCTCACTTTGGCAAAGCATATAATCAAGTAACTTTAAGAAAGAGTGCATGGG